GTTACGGACTCGATACTTTATACGACGTTGCAATACATGCTTGAGTTTTAGGTTACGTTTCAAGATACTTCGCGTGTTTATCAATTTTGCACCCGGTGCGCGAGTATTAAATCCTGCTTTTCACAACAGTCTGATTGTACTGGTAACTGTCTCATCACTACCCCCTTGCACACATACGGTCATGTGAGCAGCTGCTCTTTTGTGTAAACATTTCGGCGGTTGGAGTCAATTGCCACACTCTCGGCACCCCGTTGTGAATGATGGGCTGTAACTGTACACAAGGCATCGTGATCACCTAGGTTGTGATGGGGGGACCTGCCGCCTCTTAAAAGTTGAAGTCGCTCGTTATAAACCCCTATATATCCATCCTGTGGGAGGCGGCAGAAAGGTCAGTCACATAATTCGGAAACAAACTGGACCCTGGTGTTTTGTAAACTAAGTAATTTACACTTATGGAGAAATAGCATTATATAATTTCAATATGGCTACATGGTATGGAATGGGAGGCGGTGGGGAGATGAGTGTGGTGCGTGTACTGATGTTCCAACAATGGTGTCGCTCACTAGGCTCCTGCTTGGGGGGTAACCTTGAAAACTTGCGAAGGCGGCCGCAGGTGGACGCTGCACTTAACTTGTCCTGACTGTTGGGCGTTGTATTCCACTTGTCCTGACCGTTGTATTCCGCTTGTCCTGACCGTTGTATTCCGCTTGTCCTGACCGTTGCATTCCGCTTGTCCTGACCGGTGGACGCTATACTCGACTTGTCCTGACCGGTGATTGTTGCACATAATGTCATAGTCGACGACAGTTATTTGATGTCTGCAGGTGGCTCAGTTTCAAGAGTATTCATTCATCTTTAAGTGTGGACGAGACCATACCCAAGTTGCCCTCCAAGATATTGGGTGTGCATTGTCTAGGACCAGCTGGCGCTACCACTACAAAGTACACACTTGTCTGTTTAAATTGCGAATGATTGTTTTTCGTGGAGTCAAAGCTGTATCTCAATTATAGATAAGCCATGCGCAGCGTAGTTATTTATTTAAGTATTGTTAAAATGACTTAAGTATTGTTTCAGGACGAGATGTACGCTCGTGGTGTCCCGTCCGCTCAGTACTGTGTCGTATAGCGCTTTGAAACTACTGGTTGTTTTAGCCTCTATTGCCTCTAACTTGTTCCAATCATGTCCCACTTTGTACGTGGGAAAGGGGGGGGAGGAGGGGGACCGACGCACTCAATGATGGCTTTTATTACTCAGTGATGGCTGCTGTCACGCCTTACATATACGTGCAACATTTAATTATTAACGTAAATGGGTTCAGGTATTGTAGGTATTGCATTTTGTGGTGAGACAAGTGCGCACTGCAGATGTGGCGGCCACAACACGCAGCAGCTGTGCTCCGCCAGGATCTGCGGGATGGTACAACAATTCTACCGTTTATAAACCACTTATTCTCTTGACACGATACAATACAAGAAGAAAGGCACGCTTTTTTTTCTTTGCAAGCTTGTTGCTTGTTGTTTAACTAAATGAACTGTGGGGTTCTATTCCTGAGCCTATTATGGAATTGCCGGACAAATAGGCAGATGGATTTACAATTTCCTGACTAACAGAACCCAATGTGTAATGGTCAAAAAAATAAAATTCGGACCATCAAAATAATCATCTGGACTTCATCCGGAGTGAGGAACTGTCCTCAGGGTACTGTGCTTGCTCCAGTACAGTCCCCCAGGGTACTGTGCTTGCTCCAGTACTTTTTCTCAACCTCATATCGGACATAGACAAGGACACAATCTATAGTACTGTATCATCCTTTGCAGATTACACTAGGATTTTTATGAGAGTTGGCAACATAGAGGACACGGCAAACCTCCAGTCAGATGTAGATCAGGTCTTTCAATGGGCTACAGAAAATAATATGGTATTTAAAGAAGATAAGTTCCAGCTCATGCGCTACAGAAAAAAATAAAAATACAAAAACTGAAACCACGTATAAAACGCAGTGAAATCATAACATAGAACGAGAAAGCAATGTAAAGGTTTTGGGTGTACTCATATCGGAAGACCTTACCTTTAAAAAACACAGTAAAGTAACCGTCACAATTGCAAGAAAAATGACAGGTTGGATAACAAGAACCTTTCAAAGTAGATATGCTATACCAATAATACTTTTCAAGACACTAGTGCTCACAAAAGTGGAATACTGTTGCACAATGACAGTCCCTTTCAAAGTTGGAGAAGTTGCTGACCTGGAGAGGGTGCAAAGATTCTTTACTGTTAGAATCCACTCAATAAAACCTCTAAACTATTGGGGCATACTAAAATGCCTAAATCTGTATTCTCTTAAGCGCAGGTGGGAGATAGAATAATTTACACGTGGAAAATATTAGAGGGGCTGGTCCTAAGCCTGCACACAGAAACGACGTCACATGAGACCAGGAGGCATGGCAGGATGTGAAGTAGAGGTGCGATAGGTACTCCGAGAGAGAACTCTATCAACAACAGAGGCCTGAGACTCAACACGTTTACAAATAAAGGGGCATAACTGGCCGACCCTTCACAATGTCGAGCATGCTGGTGCCCGACATCCCAGCACAAATGTGCTGGTTTGTTTATATGGATAGAATGTTGAGATGAAGAGTAAGAACGGTTGTTGGCGTGTGCAATTAAATGTTTGTCTTATCATGCACACCATACCCATCCCGTGGGCGGTGGTGAAAAGGGTTATAGAGGCACATACATAATCGGTTCAGGAACTGAGCCACGGGAGACATCTCCCGTCACGCAGGGTGCAGTTGCACTTCCATAGACCTCCAGTATCAGCTAATAATACTGGCAATGGCTCCAAAGGGCCACCACTCACGGGCTATTCATGCCCGTGCCACCTTTTAGGTGGCTTAATCTTCATCAATCAATCAATCAATGAATCACGCGCAGTAGGCCACGAGCTGACAGATCTTGCACAGAGGTCAGAGAGAATCTTGTCCGCGGGATATAGTTAATAGTCGAGTTTCTTGTTAGTGTGCGCTCGTGGCTGCCAAGTGGCGTGGTTATTGTGTAGAGTGACTTGACTCCCTGGTAACCCCCACCTGACCTTGTCCCCAGTCCCATCCTGAATGGCTTCCCTCTCTAACTGGGCTCAATTATTCCTGTTTATATCGTTTGCATGTTTGGTGAAGCCGAGAGCCGGCCCCGATATTAATTCTTATGTTGCCTAACTGCATTATGTACATTTAACATCTGTTCTATAATTGTGGGAACGGACGTCATAGTTTGTTCCGGTGGACCCTTGGCACATGTCAGCTGATCATATCCTAGTGCCTAAACGAAAATAACGTGAGGATAGTGTATTGGCGCCAGTAACTTTTATGGGTGACAAGTGATAGCTTGGCCAGCTAACCTTAGCCGGGCGGGATGCCAACCTCATCACACCATCCATGATGCTACTGACGTCCCACCATCAACACACACACACACCTCTATATATATATTGCTCTATCCACCTAGCTAGGTGGATAGAGCAATATATCCCTCTACGGGCTATGGTGAGCCCGTAGTGGACTTGTCACAAAGTCCACTATGGGCTCACCATAGCCCGTGTTACTTGGAACGTTTTATTCCCAGTAGCTGAATCTTAAACAACCACCACCACCACCACCTAGCTGCAAAACTAGTGCGTTAAAATAGATGCGAACAAGAAATGGGCGAAAAGGAGGAAACTCCACCTCCATTTAAAACTTTGACCCAAATATCACAGTAACAAAGTTATCGCTAATAACCGAATTCAGTTACGGGCTCATTGTAACCCGTGCTACATGGACATACCGTTTAGCTGAATCTAAAACAACGACAATCACCTAGCTGCATCTTACATGTCTAGTTCTTGTGGACGTTGGCCCAGGGTACCTAAATGTATTTAGTGTCCCGGGTGTATATTTAACCCTGGGAGGTTTCACGGTCGGGGTATTTGGGTGTGTAGCCACGGCTCCTGTGTTGAACGTTAGTTAGGCCTAATGTGTCCGTGGGATGCGAGAGCCCTTAACAAACAATATTAGCCTCCTTCAAGTAGAATTGTTTCAATATCCTTGTTCCTGAACCGTTGCAAATGTTAACTATGTTAACTATCTTGTTGCTGAGGAGTTTTTAAGACTGCCATTTCTGGTACTTATGGTACTGGTCAATATGGTACTTTAAGAGTTAACTAAACTTGAGAGACTATTTTGGTTAACGGTATTTCAGAATGAGTAATTACCCAGTAATTCAACTCATCCTCCTAAAGTGATAGTACAGTACTCTCACAGTTATTTGGTCCAACTTATCAATATTTACTGTTGGACGCAAAAACAAAAAAAAACAAAAAAAAATTAGTTTTTACTATTCATTATATGTAAAGGCCGAAAAAATCCTAACTTGAACATTCAAATTCGAAACAGTAAAAGTAATTTAGTACAACTCTATATGTGCTATATTAGACCTAAGATGCTTATATTAATCCAGGATTGCTTGAACAGGTTTGGTTAGATTCTTTCGTTACATATCAGTTTCTTAGCATGACATTTGGGCTAATTAATAATACAAAACGTGAACTTTTTGGAACCAAACGGTACACATTGGTACTTTTAACCAATTAGTTGCTGTAAGCACAGTACAGTACTCTCATTTCAGGAGGATGGGCGACAACAGTTGTGTACTAAGAGATGTGGGGCTTTACTTAGGAGTTTTTAATAATAATTGACTAGTTTAATGTAAATCACAATATTCATTTTTTATCACAATGTTTATGTAAATTATATAGTTCCCAACCTCGCTCCTCCTTGGAATTAATGGGTTAAATTTTCTGGTATTATCTTGGAATTAAAATGTTATAGTTTTAAATGAAATGTCGATTGGCTTTAAAATTCCCTATTAGGCTGTGGGAGTTTGAGAGAATTTCTTATTTACATGTATGTTTTGAATTTTAGTATTGGTGCATCATTGTGATTTTTGTTTACTCTTATTTACAGTGGAAGTCCAGCACAACTACAAGATGCCAACAGTCTGGACTCATCAAGCAGCAGCTCCATTCCCTGTGAGTACCTACTTAACTCTTAGAGGCTAGAGCAACAATCTCTGCTGGCACAGTGGTAAACAGTCGTCCCACGCCTTGCAAGCCATTTGGTCTGGGTTCGAGTCCAGGCCGGGGAGGATTGACTACGTGCCAATCCAAATGTTCAGCTCTGTAAAGAGATTCATGTGTCGTGTTCCAGTGGAAACTAGTAAGATTTACCATGAGCTATGGGAAGGGAAAAAGGTTCTAATCCTGATAACACTAGTCAAAAGTAATCTTTTTCTGTACCCACCTGTGTAAATAAAAAAACTAGCGTACTCTTGGCATCAATCACGAGGTAACCCGTTCTGTTTCGCAAGTGTCAATTTGAAGTGGTTTGAAGCGCAGGAGCCAAGGCAACCCAACCAATTTTTTTAATGCAATCTAATCTGGCAGTGGTTACAAAGTTGTATATGCATCTATATATATGTGTGGTTAAATTTGTTGGACATAGTATGCCTGGTATTGACAACATAATTCTGATGCTTGTGGTCCCTTGTCACAAACACTAAACCTCCGTCAAGTATGCACTGTACTGTCCTAGTACGATATTCCTAGAGCATCTTAGTTCCACCATATTGGTGCTTTCCATAAATATCTTTAATAATACAGTAGTTTCACAGATAACTCTCACTAACGTGATATACAGTACAGTACTAGTATATTAATGAGAAAATCAACTGGAGCTCGTAGGTGACTAGAACCCGCAGCCAATGGACTGCCAGCCACAACCATTACCACTGTACCACCTTGACCTGTAATAAGTTATACAACCTGGGATTCTTCTGAATCTATAGGAAGTCTGAAGGCTTCTCAGGAATTCATTCCAAGTTTTATGTATTGTCGATTCATTTCTTGACTATGGAGGGGCGCTATGATATATTTTGACCTTGACTATTTTTACAAGTCACAGCAATTTTTATTATAATTGTTTAATATAATTTTTTTTATGCGTGTCTTAGAAATGTTTGCATTACAGTCTCCCTGGGCTTGCGTTCACCGGGGAAGGTATCTCCACTACGAGGGCGGACCATGAAGGAGTATGAGGAGCAACTAGGCAGCCTCAAGAAGGAGAATTTCTCACTTAAACTGCGCATCTACTTCCTTGAGGAGCGCATGGATCAGAAGTATGATAAGGAGGACAAGGACGAACTCTATAAAACTAATATTGAACTCAAGGTCAGTGCATGGGGGAAAATAAACCTTTTCTAAACCATGTATACTGATCTTACAAATGGAAAAGCATAAGGGAATTATATAATAAAACACCACCTGCCTAACAGTAACTATGAAGAAGTAAGGTCTAGCACTTCATGCCCTCTCTTTTTGTTGTACTGTACATCATATGCAGCAGAGTTTCCAGCATTATACCATAGTGTGAGATGCAGGGGACATGAGCCTTATTGCACCACACCATTGTTAATATATAAATAAATGTGAATCATTTATATTCTCCAATATTTTGTGGTTATTTATGCAACTCAAATATGACTGTTTACCTGACATTAGCTTTGTATGGACAGGTTGAGACAGAGGCGCTGAAGCAAGAGTTGTACGACAAGCAAGAGTTGGTGCGGCAGGCGTCAACGGTGCTGTCAGGGTTGGAGCAGCAGTTCAAGGAGCAGGTGGCACAAATTCAAGAAAATCATGAGCAGGAGAAGGAGAAGCTGCAGAGTCAGGTCCAGCAGCTGCAGTCATATATCCAGGAGCTGCAGAAGGCAAGCATGCACACCTGCCTCTTTATCAGGCTCTCTTTCACAAACCATTTTCCATAATTCTAGTACAGTACATACAGTAACAGAGAAGCAGGTGTACAAAATATTGACTTGATCACCAATGTAATAGTCCACTTGTAAAATGTAACAGGATATTATTCTTAAAAATATAAAGAAACAAGTGAGGAGCTAAAAAAAAAGTACAGTAATTGAAATTAGTGACGCGTACAAGAGCAAAATGAGTCTGATCTAAATGTACTCTCCTAGTTGTACTCTCTTAGTTGTGCTTGCAGGGGTTAAGCTTAGGCTCTTTGGTCCCACCTCTCAACTGTTAATCAACTGGGGTAGCTCAACACAAGTGCTAAGCCATAGATAAAGGGATTAGGCTTTTATCATTTACATGATGATTCTTCCAGACTCAGATGAGGAAAAATGGTGTTCCAGTTTAAAATTCAGAAATGGAAAAATTACTTATTGGAGTCAAAATGTGAGAAATGTTGATATAATCATAAATAGGCCAATGGTATAAGGAAGTGAACAATACTTGCAAATCAAGTTAATTATTAAAATAATTATACCAAAAAATCTTTTGGTATTAATTTTAGTATAAAGATAGCTAATTTTAAAATGTTTCACACTCAGGAAGTTGACGAATATGCCAACCGATGTCACGAAGAAAAGGGCCAGCTTGGCGAGCTAACTCAACTGTGTGGTCTGGCATTCAGCAATGGAGCAGAGGATGAGGACGAGGCAGAAGCTCAGGCACCTTCTCTCTCTAAGGACAATTTGAGTCTACCGCTGAATCTTGCAGGGTTCACGAGCGGTTACAGCACTCCATCACCTGTGCAAGGTACTCTATATTGTTGCTCTTATTTGTTATTCTCCATTTGACACCTAAAAATACAAATTTGAATTACTTTTTGTGACTGTGTTTCTATCTATGGTGATGTGTTCTTGTGTGACAAAACTGGGCAGGTAAGTCCAGGATAAATATAAAGGCTCCTGAGTATTCAAGGCTAAGGATACAAGAAAAGTCAGACAAGTGTGCACAGTGAAGGAATTGTATGATATAACAAGTGAACCATTTAACAGTTTAACAAAAATGTGGGCATTGTTAAGAAATAACACATGTATTGTATATATTAAATCTGTATAAATTTGAGATCTCAATATCTTCTGTTCTTTTCTCAGGAATATTCAGCATGCCAACCACGATGTCGGAACCAGCTGTCCTCAAGAAGCCACAGCCTGAGTTTACATCGGCCAATGACAGTTTCAATAAGGCTAAGAGTGAAGTCACAGAATCAGCCGAGCAGAAGGTGGTGGCTCTGGAAGCCCAGGTGGCTGAGCTAAAAAATCGAGTGACTGAACTTGAGGAAGAACTGGCTGCAAAAGAAGAAACTACATCTGTATTAGAGGGAGATCTTGCCAATTTAAGGAAGGAGGTAATAGTAATTGTGTGTGTTTCAAATATAGTAAAATACTGTACAGTACAGTATACTGTGTTGTACTCATAAATTTTTAATACAAACTACCATTTGGAAATTAAAAGTGCATTTAAATTCTTGAATGAGTTGGGGATAAACTTATTATGGAAAACAAGGTGGCAGGTTTTGTGTTCCAGTGCCTCAGTATTGCTGTGCAGTGGGGGAATGATTGCTTTGTCCTGGGCACGTAACCGACTTCTGAAGAGATTTACAGTTTGTAATGTGTGTCGTGTGTGTATGTAATTCAACTATTTCAGTCTATCTAATCTATCCAATCCATCAATGATGCGATCAGTCTCTGGTCTCCATGATGCATCTTTATGTAGTGCAAATGTTACACAGCACAAGGTTTTTTCCCCTATATGTGCTTGCCAATAGGAAGGATTATCTCTTAGGATGCTGCTTCTTCAGTTTAGAGTATCTTGTACAACGTTCTCTCAATTACATGTGATTGTCGTGTCTTCCTTCGTAGCTGTGGAGTGCAGTGACCTCAACTACGTCTGTCTTCTGTTCATGGGATGTTTTCACTACTTGTACAGCAAAATAGACCTTCCTTATATCCCTTTGGCTCATTTGCATAACCCCTTTCCTCCTTTGTTCTCAAATCGTACCTCTCATCAGGAACAACCTGTCCTTATGTTGTATGTCAAGATCATGCCTTCTTTCTTGATCTTCCCTCCAATTCTTGTAAGTTCGAATCAGCATTTTGAATCTGTGCTTGTTTTTCAGTTATTTATCTACCTTGTAGCAAATCTCTGAATCTTCTCAATTTTCTTTGTTTTGATATGGATGGCTGCGATCATCCAGTCCTGGTATTGCCTACTCCATCATGCTGTGTTAAGGCCGTCATAATTTGACATTTACCATATGTAAGCTAACACACATCCTCTGGTTTCAGTTGGAAGACAAAGTAGAAAAGATAGCAGATCTGGAGGCGGAAGTGACGGAAAAGGACTTGAAAATCGATGATGTGATGCAGGAGCTGGAAACGCGGCACATAGAGATCCAAGCCAAGGATGACCAGATACAAAGCCTCCATCATGATTTAGATAGAGTAAGTGTTTTTGTGTGGCTCCAACCTGTGCTATGCCACTGTGTTCATAACAATGTGGTTAGATGATAGATGGGTAGCATTGTGGTATTATATATGACTTATTATGTTCGGTATATTACTCCTTCACCTTGAGTTAAAATATCCCTTACAAATATGGAAGAAGATATGACTAAGAAGTAAGAGAATACTGTAGTATAATATTGTACAAGAAGTCAGAAATGTTGTATTTCTTTGAAGACTGTAAAGTAAAATCAATGTACCAGTACATTTCAAGAATTTGCTCTATAAACTAAATGGTTGTTCAACATGAATGTTGTATAAATCTAATTCTCTAGTTCATTCTCAGCTAATTAATTATATATGGTACACCCTTAAAAATGTTGTTCACCATTTAACAGGTCTAAATTTCAGATGTCAGTAAAACATTTCATATTACAGAGTGAGACAGGGAAATTATAATTGTTAGGTAAAGTAATTTCCTGCAGATCATAAATGTATAATTTCTTATGTTGTGCTTTTTAATCGTTCATTGCAGGTGGCAGAAATGTTATTGCAAAAATGGTAATGAAACCCTATCCCCTAAATGATTAATTTGAACAGCTTATTTGTCATGTTTAGCTATATACAAGACTGCAGTGCCACCTGTGGCCTGTTGTCTCATTCCACCTCAGTGTTTTCCACTCACTCACTCACTCACTATTGTTGCCCCAGTTTCTTGTATTTGTCTTGTGCCGGCCTGCCTGACTCATTCATTCATTCCCATGCCTACTCTGCCCACCCGAACACAACAACCCATTTAAACTCCCATGAAGATACGTGCACATGGAAGACTTTACATGCAACCTTTTCTTCAAGAAAGGCACATTCTCAGAAGAAACAAGCAGGCACAGATATTGTTAGAGATACTGCTGTTGGCTACATTTGTAACCATTGTAATAGTATTATAATTTTTTTCCTCAGGTTGAGCCAGAAATAGAGGTCAAGGTTCAAGAAATTGTGGAGCGTGATCGAATCATTGAAGAAAAAATAGAGCAAATTGAACAGCAGAACAAAATTCTAGTGGAAATCCAAATTACATTAGATGAAAAACAGAAGCAAATTGCTGATATGGAACACAAGATTACAGAATCAAGTGAAAAGATAAAGAAGCTCACAGAGAAGCTTGATAAATCCTGTAAAGTTATTCAGGTAAGTACATTGTCATATATGAATGCAGTTGGTAATTTTATTAACACTTCTGATCCCAGTGACAAGGCTGAAAAAAAATTCCTCATTGTGGAATACTACGAGCAAAAGTATTCCATTTCCTTAACATGTGCAGACAAGCACCATTATATGCGGAGAATTATATGCAGAGAATAAGTCACAATAATATGGCTGAAAATTAATATTCAACCATCATATATGAAAACTAAAGAATTAATAAGGGTCAAGGATTGACCAAAATGTCGTCACTTAACTTACTTTTCGTGCATGTAAATCGGGTATTAATCATTGATATGTCAATTACTCATCATGTCACATTTTCTACTTTATTGGCTAGAGATGTATGTCCAAAGAGAAGGAGGAGCTGTAAAGTGAAAGCAAGTTACATATATTAAAAAGTTTGTTCATGCATGTTTTATCATGCATACTATGTCACAAACAAGCTCAAACTCATAAAGTGGATGGGTGCATCTAAGACCAGGTGTTCAGTGTTGCTCGTGAAGTGGCATATGCAGTACAGTACAACCTTGATTCAAAGAACTATATGGGACGAACCTCAATTTGTTTCAGTGTGGGATTCGTTGCAGCTGGAGATGCCTCCAGGATTCATTTCCCATGCCCTATGTGCTAATTTCACTATTTTCATTTCATCCTATAATATAATAAACTACCAAATGAACATGTCTGCAAACAAATTCAGCCACATTTAACTTATTTCTCATAGCCCCAGCCTCAAAACTCATTTTCAGAAGGTAGTACAGCCATACCTGATTGAATATATACCTAGCCAACTCAAAATGAAAACAAACCATAAAGTTTGGTTTTAAATATCTTCAGTACCTTTCGCAAGGCTCCAACTGTTTCTTGTAATATTGAGTACAACTACAAAAATGCAGACGAGGAGTCACAATAACGTGGCTGAAATATGTTGGCCAGACCACACACTAGAAAGTGAAGGGGACGATGACGTTTCGGTCTGTCCTGGACCATTCTCAAGTCAATTGAGATGATAAAGATGATTGAGTTGAGCATCTCAATTGACTTGAGAATGGTCTAGGACGGACCAAAACGTCATCGCCCCTTCACTTTCTAGTGTGTGGTTTGGTCAACTTAAAAAATCATCAAAAATGTGATTGGAGTCGTATTACACTGTGTGTGTGTGTTTTACCATTTATACTCTAATATTTCCCAGGCTCTATGAGCTGATTTCACTGAGCAAAATGTTAATCTTCAGTGTGTCATATGAAGGACAGTTACCAAAAAGAAAACCCTGTCTGTAAAGAGATTTAACTACATCTAGCATATTTCCCACTCCCTAAGCTTTGAAACCTCATTTTCAACAATTTTCAACAATATTTACCAACAGTGGTAACAATATTTTGAAGTAAAAGCTTGAAGGTTTTGCTGACAAATAAATTATATTTTGTTATGAAACACGGTGCATTGATTAATGTAGAATTGGAAAAAAATAGCTTTGATTTTGATGTGAAATTAAAAATGATGCAAATTATATCAGATAAAATATTTTGAAATCACCCCAAATTAGGTGGTTCTTGTATTTTATATTCTTGCTTCTTTAGATGTGGGTTGGCCCAACCTTCTCCTCCTTGCAAGATCTCAGTACCTATCATAATAGCTAAGAACATACGTTACACAATGACCTTCCCGTTTGAAAACCATATTTTGTCTTATTCTGTCAGTTCTTTCCAGATGTTCTACCTATTTGTTTTAATGATTTTCTAGTGATATTACTACCACGCTTGTCAATAATACAGATCTATAATTTAGAGGGGTCTTCTTTGTTCCCATTTTTATAGGTTGAAACTGTCTTTTTTTTCTATAATTAGTGAGGTTCTTTGTTTAGATGTTTGGAAAATATTGTATAGTTGGGCACTAATGTTGGATGTGTATTCTCTCGGAACCCATGTCCAGATTCCTTCTGACCCCGACTTCTTTATTTCTATCTAGTTCCTTGAGCAGTTTTTCCTACCTTGTCTCTTAAGACACTTCTAGGTACTTTGTTGTGTACTAGAGTGTATTGTTTGGTTCTCTGAATACATCATTTCACACGAGCAAACTTTGGAACTGTTCATTTAGTTTTCACTCATTTCCTTTTTAGTCTATTAGTGTTATTTTTAGTCTTCAAATTTTGTCTTTCACTTGTAATTTGCTTTTCATGGACATATAAAATAGGCCGAGTTCTGTTTTACATTTGTCTACCATCCCTTTACTTTCTCAAGGTTTCTTTGTGTGTATACTCGTTACTGTGTACTTGTTTGTAAGTTTTGCCTCTTCCTATATTGATTCCATTTTTTCCTATTGCTGTCTGGCACTCAGTTTCTATTGAACCAGCCCTGTGCTCAAAAAAACTATAAATTTTTGGGTGCCTTCATATATTAAAAAAATTCGTATACAGTGGTACCTCGGAATGCGATTGTCCCTGTATGCGAGGTTTTCGGAAGGCGAGGTGTATTTACTCCAAAAATTTGTCTCAGAAGGCGAGTTTGGACGCGAGTTTGTTGATACGCGTACAGCCGACCTAGCGCGTTCGACGCCCCTCCGCCCCTCAGTTTATTATTGTCTGGCGCTCAGTGACTACCCCCACATCAATTCTTCTCGCGGATTTTCAGTGTTTTGTTGGATTTTTGGTGATTTGTCTATACAATTTGTTATTATATATCTCGCCATGGGTCCCAAGAAAGCCAGTGGTAAGGATAAAGGCCAGAAAGCTCCTGTGAGGATGACAATAGAGGAGAAACAAGAGATCATTCGGAAGCATGAGAACGGTACACGTGTTGTTGAACTTTGTAGGCAGTACAACAAAGCCACATCAACAATATGCACTATACTTAAGAAGAAAAATAAGATTATGGGTGCTAAAGTGGCAAAAGGAGTAAGAACATTAACGGCACAAAGACCACAAATACTTGAAGAAGTGTTAAAGTTGTTATTAATTTGGATACACGACAAGGAGTTGAGGGGTGATAGTGTTTCGGAGGCCATTATTTGTGAGAAAGCCAGGGTGTTGCACGAAGACCTTCTAAAGAATACCCCTGCAACGAGTGATGCAGATAAGAAAGAGTTTAAGGCAAGCAGGGGCTGGTTTGAAAAATTTAGAAAGAGAAGTGGTATCCATAGTGTTACAAGGCATGGGGTTATGTGATGTGATTATGGAAGGGGACTCCCCTTCCAAACAGTAACTCCTCTCCTCCTCCCCCCTCCTCACCATCTTCCATACGCCTACAGCACTCGACAGCAAGGTAAGTAATAACTGGAACACAGTTTTGTAGGTTTATTTAGATGAATTAGGTAAATTAGGTATAAAAATTTAGTTTGATGTGGGGTTTTTGGGGTAGTCAGGAACGGATTAATTCATTTCCCTTTATTTCTTATGGGGAAATTAACTTCGGAATGCGAGTTTTCGGAAGGCGAGGCGTCTCCAGGAACGGATTAAACTCTTATTCTGAGGTATGCCTGTATCTCATTTATTTCCCTGCTAAACAAGAAATTGTTTGTCAAATTGATTAAAGAGCCAAGATTTCTTTTGTCTCGCTTTTCATATTCTCTTCATTATAATGTTTTATGTATTTTATTTCGAAGTACTGTACATGGATGGTCGTTCTTACCTAGTGGCAGGCAGGTACTGGAGGTCAAAGAGCTCTTTCTTATTTCTGGTAAATATTACAGCCAGGACTGATGGAACATTGATGTGTATGAAAACGTGTGTGTGTGTGTGTGTGTGTGTATATATATATATATGTCGTACCTAGTAGCCAGAACGCACTTCTCAGCCTACTATGCAAGGCCGGATTTGCCTAATAAGCCAAGTTTTCATGAATTAATATATTTTCTCAAATTTTTTTCTTATGAAATGATAAAGCTACCTATTGAATTATGTATGAGGTCAATTTTTTTTTTATTGGAGTTAAAATTAACGTAGATATATGACCGAACCTAACCAACCCTACCTAACCTAACCTATCTTTATAGGTTAGGTAGCCGAAAAAGATAGGTTAGGTTAGGTAGGTTAGGTAGTCGAAAAACAATTAATTCATGAAAACTAGGCTTATTAGGCAAATCGGGCCTTGCATAGTAGGCTGAGAAGTGCGTTCTGGCTACTAGGTACGACATATATATATATATCTATCTATCTATCTATATATATCTATATATCTATCTATATATATCTATATATATAGATATATATATAGATATATATATATAGATATATATAGATATATAATACACACACACACACAGAGAGAGAGAGAGAGAGAGGAACGAGCGAACGAGCGAGCGAACGAGCGAGCGAACGAACGAGCAAACGAGCGAGCGAACGAACGAGCGAGCGAGCTAGCTAGGTGGCAGCAGGGATAGGTTGTGGAAGTCATGCAGGAGTTACAATGTCCGATTGCAAAAAAAAAAAAAAAAAAAAAAAAAAACAAATAATACTAAAAAAATGGTTGCAGCTGTCTTTTTACAGTGTGTAATTACCTGTGTAGTTACAGGAAGAGAGCTACGTTTGTATCCCGTCTTCCCAGTACTGTACTTTGTCTTATAATGCTTTGAAACTACTGACGGTTTTGGCCTCATCCACCTTCTCACTTAGTTTGTTTCAACCATCTACTACTCTGCAAAAGAAAACGTTCTAATATTTTTTTGGCATTTTTATTTCGTTAGCTTGAAGCTGCCTATTTCAGGAATTCCTTTTTATCACTTTGGTCGATTCCTGTTATTATTTTGTAAGTATTGATCATATCACCTCTTTTTTTTTCCTTATATCTTCTAGTTTTGGCATGTTTAATGCCTCTAGCCTCTTCCCGTAACTCTTGCTTTTCAGGATGAAGCCATTTTGTAACATGCTTTTGCACCTTTTCCAGTATATTTATGTACTTCTTGAGATTTGGGCACCATACAACTGTTGCATATTCCATAATTTGTAAGTTGTGTGTGTGTGGTCTATTTTCTCTGATTCCATATTCCATAACATGGCATTTACAGTATTCATATTGAATTCCATTTGTCACATGTCGCTCCAAGCACTTATTTTATCTAGATCAATTTGAAGGACATGACAATCATCTGCATCTCCTATCTTCCCCAGTATCTTAGCATCATCTGCAAACATGTTCATATAATTCTGTATTCCTTCTGGTAGATCGTTTATGTAGGCCATGAACATTACTGGTGCAAGAACTGAACCCTGTGGTACTTCGCTAGTAACACTCCTCCAATCAGTTACATTACCTCTTATTACTGCTCTCATCTGTCTGTAAGAAAACTTTTCATCTATGTCAGAAGTCAGTAGTAATAGTAGTGTGTCTGTACTCTCCTAGTAGTGCTTACGGATGTTGAGCTTCAGCTCTTTGGTCTTGCCTCTCAACTGTCAATCGACTGGTGTACAGATTCTTGATGTGTGTGTCTGTCATAAATAAATTTGTGTGCGGTGGCTTAATGGTGCTCATTGAAATATGACAGAACAACAGTCATATCTAGTGACTGATGACGGCAGGAAATATGCAACTTCAGAAGGATCTTTTTGTCTTCAGTTTCTCCACTTGCATTTTATAGATTAACACACTTCTTGTTTAAAGATGAACACCTTTCTTCTTTAAAGCTGAACCCCCCCCCCCCTCTTGTTTAAAGATGAAAAGTTTTTATATTTTAAAATCTCTAATACCTGATCTGGGGGGTCTTGGCAGATTTGGTGTAATTTGTTTAAATAAAGCTTGCATTGCCTCTTAATTTTTATTAGTGTTATTTTTAGTAATACAAAAACATTTTCTTAGACATTTGCAGAAGTTGTTCAGGCTCGAGATAAAGAAATTGCTGCTCTGACAAAAGAATTAAAACGCAAAGAAAAGAAAGTCCGAGACCTCGTGGCAGAACTGAAGGAGGCTCTCGACATGCTGAACAAGGCAAAATGGGAAGCGGAGACAAGTGGTGGTGAAGATGGTGTCAAGGAAATGGCAGAAGAGGAGAATGAGGTAAGCAGCCCCTTAAAATATGCTGAAAATATGCCTCGTGGAAGTGAAGGGTCCAGTCAGTACAGGAGTGAAGAGTGCTACAATAACCACCCAGCAAGGACCGCTGAATTGCACGAACAATTACGGGAAGCTTCTTGTACCACAGTAGAGTTCTTGCCAAATGTTAACAACCCTTATAGCTTGGTTTCTCAATCGGCACCTTCTCATGTACATGCATCTTCAACAATCCCTCAGATGCACCCCTTGCAGTCACCTGCTACTCTGCACCATAATCTTAGATATCAATTTTTTCATCCCACAAATAAGTTTTAATGAGCTCCCTTGTTGTGTTGCCTTATATATTGCTATTACACTTTTGAATAATTTTATTTTTAGATTGCTGCATGTGCAGAATTTTTCACCTTTTGTTTTATCTTAAAACTATTGTACCTGAATAAGGGAAGTGTTTATTCTCCATTTTATTTTCACTTTTATTTGGTAATGTTTAAGAATTTGGTTATAATAAAGTTTATTATTCATATGCTAGTTCTTTATTTTTTAAAGCCTTGCTTGAATAATAAATCTGTATATTAAAAACTTACCTGAAGTGTTAAATGCAACTAATGTTGAATACAAAGTAATTCTGGATTAAACATCAGGTAAGCAAATCTGTAATGAACATTTTGCTGCTGACATATGTAAGGAACTATTATTATTTATGCAACACTAATAAATTTTTTGTTTCTTGCAGCGATTATGGGCAGAATTGGAGTCCCGCAAGAATGAGGTGCTGGCACTGCGGGCAGAACACAAACACTCCTTATCTGAGGCTGAGGAGCGTGTACATCAACTTCAGAAACAGTTGGATGAAAAACTAAAAGCCCTTGAAACTCAGCAAGACCAACACAATAAAGAGACTGAGGAATGGGAGGTGCGTTTGCGTGATAAGGCCCAGCAACTAGCACGCCTTGAAGGAGAACTTCAGACACTTCACGGTGATATGTCTAACAGGGAGGGACAGTTGCGCACTAATCAAGGACTTGTTCAAGGATTAGAAGATGAACTGGCTGCAGCTAAAGACCAACTGAAGGATAAAAAGGCAGAATTGGAAATTCTTCAGGAAGAACTGAAAAAGAAAAATAATGACATGCAGGATTTGGTGAATCATGAGTTGTGGGAAAGGAATAGGGAGATTGAGCGTCTACAGGAAAAACTCAGTGCCTTATCATCAGATCGTCGCCATCAAATTGAATGCTTGAAGGATGAATTAGAAACCAAGAATAGTGAATTAAGGAGACTGAGAACTAGGTTAAATTGTGAGACTTCTGAAACTAATGATGGCAACCAGATAGCATTATGCTCTAAAGTGAATAACACCCAGTCTGCAGTAAATCCCACAGCAAATAACCAACCCAAGAATGCTGCTCATTTGACAGTAGTTACGGGATCTGGAGGTGCTGATGTAGTTACTGTAAATCGTCCATTACATCTGACATTCACTGATGATAATTCTGCTTCTGTGCAAATGCTTTATCAGGAAATGTGTAAAGTTAGGGGTGAGGCACAAGCATTACGCATGGAAAGAAGTATATTAAATGATAAACTCTCAAGTTTACAAAAATCATATGACCAAGTTTGCCACGTAAGTGCACCAAGTGCTAACGAACTTCATGAACAAATGGACTCTGTTAAGAAGCAACTTGATGAAACCAAAGAAGAAAATCTGCTAAAGGACCAGAAGCATGGAGAGATTGTCAGTGATTTTCAGTCTCAAGTACAAGTTCTGCGAACTGAACTTCATAATGCAAAGAAAAAAATTAGCCGCCAGTTAACAGAAGTCAGTGTGCGTAAATACCAGGAAGCTCTGAAACGACACAAACAAGAAATTGCCTCTCTGAGAAAAAGGCTGGCAGATTCACACAATGCATGTGATCTACTCAGAACTCGACTAGAAGAACTAGCAGACTTCTTGGAGCGTATTCTAGAAATGGAGGAGAGAGGCCTCATTAATTTAAGTCAGTTGTCTCCAAAGCAGCTAGCCTCGTTACAGAAAACTCTTGACGAGTCTCGTGCACTTTCTCGTTCACTATCACAATCACTAATGATTGGTATGGACATCACTGAACATGGTGATGATGCACATCTGTCTAGTTCAGTGAGCTCCATATCATCTTGGAGCCTACAAAGAGATGATAGTTTTTCTGAAACACTTGATTATTTAGGAGCTAGTAGTCTTGAAGCCATAGCTAACCTTCCTGATGAGACATTGTTACAGCCAGAGGATTCTCATGATCCAGCTGTTCAAGCACTTGCCACACAGCTCAACATTCAAATTGACCAGAAAACACGAGAGATTGATGCCATTGCTGAGAATGTGTCGGTATTAAGTGAAAAGCTAGCAGAGAGAATACAGCAAGTGGAGCAACAGGCAGGAGTTATTGGTGAACTACGAGAACAAGTGGATTGTCTTCAGGAGGAAGTAAAACGTAGGGACCTTCAGCTTCTAGCACCTCATGTTGACGAAGGTGAAAACAGCCAACATCCTCTACAGAGCTCTTGGCAGAGTAGTATAAACCCAATTGCAACATCATCTCAGAGCACTGTGCATGCTGTTTCTCCTCAGTCTACACTGGGAACTCATAATTCAAGCAGCCAAGAAAGTCTTCACAAGCCTCCCAGTATTTGTTCTGACTCATTGCCTCCTCCACCTCTTCACCTCCTTCAGGACAGCGAGTGTGAAATCAGACCCGATATTAGGGAGTTGGAGATTTGTCACGCATCGGATCGTAGCAGCCTGAGTGCAGTCAAAAGTGCATACTCAACTGATGCAGCTATAAAGGCTTATAGTGGGCACCTAGGTTACTTTCAGCAGTATGCAACAACTGGTGAACAAAGTATTGGTGATGGACTAAAGCCATGGAAGGAAAATGCAAATGGGCCTATGACCTGTGCGATACCTGAACAACCCTGGGCACCCATTTCACCATCTGAAAGTGAAGCTTGGAGTGAACCTGACAGAAATGTATCTTTAGCAAGAATTGGACTTGATGCTTGTACTCTTGGGGGTGCCCCAGATAGAGCATTATCACGATCTCGCCAGCAGAGAGCATCTGCAATTACTTCAGAATCTGATGGTGAGGCTGCACATGAAGACACTGCCACTTGTGTTGCTAATAACGTACTAACGCCAGGAAAAGCCTCCAAGAGGCGATCTGATGTTGCAGAACTTCGACGAGTATCCACAAAACTGCGTGCTGTAGAACAACTGAATGACACTCTCCGTGCAGAATTGAACATATATCAAACATTGAGTCAAGAAATGGCTCAACAACAGCATGATCAGCAACAGAGACCTAAGACTAGTGATAAGAGTGTTGAAACACACAAGGGAGAGACAGCAGATGCCTCGGTAGGTGCTGAAGAAGAACCTACAATACCACCACCACCACCCATATTTGCTATTCCTGCACCATTGTTAGAAGAGATTCGTGCACTGCGCCTTAAACTAGAAGAAGCAATTGCTAACAATGACCATCTTCGAGATCAACTTGAAGCAGCATTAACAGCACATCCACAAGATGAAGCACGGTTCCATCACCTTACTGCTGCTTTGCAGGTTAGATTTTTGTTGTTGCTATGTATTTAGGTTTGTAATGAGATCAGTAAAGTGTGTATTTGAGTAGGTTTGGTGTTGGTGATATGATGAATGTGAGCATACATGAGAAGTTGTAAGAGACAAGGATGAGTAGCAAGTGTGTGTGAATGTTCGGCATGTTTGTACATGTACGTTTGGGATTTATTACATGGTGTTGTGTATTGTGGACGGTTCACTTTACTGCAGTGTTTGCCCTATCATCATAGTTAAAACATTTTTTTTACTTAATATCTTTATTAGCTCATCATAATTTAATGAGGTGTGGTTACTTATTAAAACAGGCTAAAAAGTACAGTACCTATATTAGTTCAGTACCAGCCCTAAATAAATTATGGTCAGTATAGCATGATTATAATTTGTATATTTTATAAATATAAAAATTTTTAAGTTACGTTATAAATTGGACACGGCTGCTTTTCATTTTCAGACAGCTCAAGAAGAAATGCGTGAAGCAAGAGATAGATTGCAAGGGTCACAGGAATCTGTTCGTGAGCAGCAAGAAAAATATAACAATATTCAATTTAAGCTCCAAGAGTGCGAGGGCCGTCTAACACAATGTTATATCCAACTTGAAGCTGCACAAACTGAATCACTAGCTGTAAAATCTGATTTGAGTAATGCTCATCAACTGTTGCAAGAGAGAGGCTTGCTATTACAAGAACGTGATTCACAGTTGGCAGAAAGACAGCAGACTATGAATGAAATGGCACTCAAAATTATTCAGCTTGAAAAAGATGCTGTTAAAAATCCAGATCTGGATGAACACTTGCAAAAACTACAGAGCGAGTTACAAAAGCAAGAAATGCGTTTACTTCAAGTCAACAAAGAACGTTTGTCTCTTGTTGGGGAGCGTGCTTGTCTACAGGCACAGCTGGCCTCTGCCTCGACCCATGCTCGTTTACTTCAAGATGGCAAACAAGATGTAGATGGAGTGGGAGAAGAGCGTATTACTTTACTTCAGCAACTTGATGTTGAGCGTACTACAGTATCAAATCTGCATAAGGAGCGACAACAGCTGCTAACAGATAAGGAACGTCTTGAAAAGGAAATGCAAGTGTTGCAAGAGGAAGTAGCAGGTTTACGAGCAAAAATTGAACACCTCACATCTCATCAGGATTATGCTGGTCAACAAGCTGACAGAGAGAAAAGGAACTTGACAGAATTACAAAATGAATATACTACACTGCAGCGTAATCGTAATGAGCTCCACTTAAAGGCTCAGAATCTTGAGATTCAGTTGCAAGTCATGACAGAGAAGCACAAAACTGCAGAAGATGCACAGCTTTGTTTAATTGAACAAAAGTCTCTTGTGAAGCAACTAACTGCACAACTCGATTCAGAACGTTGTCTCACCGCAAATCTTCAGTTACAGCTCAAGACCCTTCGAAGCAGTACATCACCAACTACCTCTCAAGGTGATGATTGTAAGTACTTAAAACTAATATACAGTGTATTTTGCTTTTAGTTTATGCCATAAGGATTCTTTACTGTTTTCACTAAATTAAATTTGTTGTAATTTTCGTTCAAACATTTTGGTATGCATGCGATACTGTGCCTGGAAAATGCCTTTTTGTATCACTTTTTTACTGATGTAAAAGTGGTTTGTTCTAGCAGTGAATTAAAAACTCGATTTACATATTTAGCCCATTCTTCTTTCATTCTCAAGCATGTTCTTGGCAGAACATTAGTACATGCCCAACAGTGAGACCCCACACAAGAAGTGTCACAGAATGGGTAAGGGATGACCTTGGCTGATATATTTGTGAATACCACTTCTAGTTGTGTATCTGTAGGCACCACTCCTAGGTATACAGCTGTAAGCGCCACTCCTGGTTGTACAGCTGTAAGCGCCACTCCTAGTCGTACGGCTGTAAGCGCCACTCCTAGTCGTACGGCTGTAAGTGCCACTCCTAGTCGTGCGGTTGTAAGCGCCACTCCTAGTCGTAAGGCTGTAAAAGAATGATTAGGAGTGGAAGTTTCATGACTAAATCCTTGTACTGAGCAAAGTGAGTAGCTTATATGGTTTGTAGATCTGATTTACAGTTTTGCTCGTCGCACATGTTTAGGCCAAATATATTTTTTGGCAGTTTGTTTATTCCATTCCTGTGATCTTTAGTGCACTTAGGCTATTCCAGATCATTTAGTTGGGAACAAAAGATGGTTAATTGACGAGTGATTAGGATTATACTGCCTGGAAGTGTGGCATATGGTTGATATTTAAAGGTACAATATATAAAGTATATTTCCAGAGTTATCATAATCATATAAAGAGAGCCCTACTTGCATATTATGCAGAGATTACTGGCTTAGGCAGTAATGTCCCAACTTAGGAAACTTGTATCAGTTTGTTTTTCTACATGCATAGTGTTAAATGTTTTCCAAGCAATATCTACAACTTAATACTTTTGTGTCCTCACTTATCTAACTTGTTTGCTAATAATTTGTTTAATAATATTTATGAAGTGGGATTGCCTTAAAATGTTGTATAGTACTGTACTTTTATCTTATCAGCCTTGATTTTCTGATAACTTTTATCAACAGCTGTTGTTCCAAATGAAAGTGATCACGCGTCACACGAAAGTGTCACCAGCATCGAGTTCTTCCGCCCATTATCTGAAACAGGTTTATTACACAAGCATAGAGCCACATCACTCAGCCCCACGTCTGGAGACAAAAGTAAAATACAGGAACGTCGTGCTGCAAGTAGTAGCCGTAGACGAGAGAGCAATAAACGGATCAACCATTGGAGTGAAGATAAAGAGAACCACCAAATTGCCACCACCACCACAATTACCACCACCACTAGCAGTAGCAAAAAAAATCGACGCCTTCACAGTGGCATTTCCAGCGATGGAATATTTGCACAACATGCCGCTCAACCCCTACTACTTCACCAACCTGACGAGGAAGGTGATGGAGGTACAACTTCTGGTGAATCGCCTGACTTGGGTATTGGATCAGACTATCCCTTTTCCAGCTTGGAAAGAGGGACCCGCACACTGCGCTCACTCGTTCACACTGCTCAAGATCTCCCACCACCTCCGTTGTGCTCCGAACCTAGTAAGTTAAATGTTGTATATTGTCTTCATTTAATATTCTCTCCTCAGACCATAACTAAAAAGGAACTGATTCATATAAAACTCTTCATTAGTGTATATGTTGCTTGACTCAAATACTCAATGTCCAGTTTGTCACAGAATTTTGTTCCATAAGTTTTTCTCTACAGCAGATCACTATTAGGATGAATTTGCCAGTGGCATAGAACTAAACAAAATCAAATTTAGAAATGTTAAACACTGGTATATTAGTTATTTATGTGCAAACATGGATGATATCTATAAATAAATATTTGGTTTAAAAATATTGAGTGTCAGGTCTGAGAAAATAGTGAACACCAAATTTTCATAAAGCTAATTATGAGGGACAAAGGCAGGCACTGATGTGTGTGTGTACTATCAGTAACCTTGAACACAAAGAAAGTTCAGAAGGTTTGCAACTAGATTAGTACCAGAATTGTGAGTCCTGAGCTATAAGGACAGATTGAGAATTGACCTTCAAAACCTTAGAGGAGAGAAGAAACAGAGAGGATATGATTAACTACATACAAGGTTTTGAGGGAAATAGATAAAGTGACAAAGTGAGCCAATTTAACTTAAAAAGAAGTAGGACCAAGACATCAGTGGAAGCCGACACCCAGTGAGTCGCAGAGATGGGAGAAGGTTCTTGTTCTCTGTATGGATGGTTGGCAAATGTTTTCTGTATGGATGGTTGGTAAGTGTTCTTTCTCTGTATGGATGATTGGCAAGTGTTCTCTGTATAGATGGTTGGCAAGAGGAGGTTATTGAACCCAATTTCATCCACAACTTTAAAGAAAAAATATGATGGAAATGTAAATTGAGAGAAGGTATAATTGACTAGGGTGCAGGGCATTGAGTGCTAGGTCTCACTTCCCCGTATTCACTGATGGGTAAGCCCTGATATGTAAGCACACAAGATGAACAGTTCTTGATCATTATTATTTGACTTCAGTAATTGATGTGGAATATTATGCTCCTGAGCTTAAAGCATTCATCTATGATAATCCAGTCAGGAGGCAATCTAACACTGGATTATATGTCAGTAAATATTGCAACATATGGAAGATATGTTGCAATACAAGGGAAGGTTAGTATAAAACAGTGCAGATATATAGTACAGTACTGTAAATGTGGTTGTAACTTCACCCACCAACATAATTGTTAATATCTCAATTTCACTGTGACAAATTTTAATTACTTTATTTTTTTTTAATTCATACCATAGTTTTCCAGAAGTTATTTAAATATTTGTTATTCCACTTACCGAAAGAAAAACCCTGCCTGTGGCCGAGGACAAGTGACCTTACCCTGCTTCTGATTTCAAATCTGACCATTATAAGTTTATTTTCTTTTTTAACGGAGTGTATTGGAGATGGAGAGCCTTACTGTCAAAGTACTGTAGTTCTGAATATGTTACTAACAGCTTTAGTGTACTTAAAACACCAATTGATTGTCAAGTATTATCAAGTAAATAAGATTGTCATTGTTTACGTGTGTCTAGCAGGGTACATATAAAGGTACCTGTTGATCATAAACGAATTCACATTAAATGTGCTTTAGAACATGTCTGTGTGTAAGTGTCTTACATAGTGTAGCTCCCTTCCTGAAGCTACTGACCCCCTTGACACTAGCTCTTGCCACTCCAGGACCATTCCTCGGTTAGTCTTCCATTTCTCCACGATTTTTGTTCTGGTGACATTATATGAAGTTTCAGTTTTTTGTAAGACATACAAATAATGTATAGCAACTTGAATTAATTATGGTTATAGATTTCTTCACGTGTAGTAAACTTGATTAAAGATGCACCGAACATGGTCTTGGGTAGAGAAAGCTCTGTTGTAGCTATAGTTTAAGATTTTAGCTTCCTTTACCCACCATAAACTCCCCAGCTGATGGTTCTTTGTTTCACTGTGTGGCTGCAGATCTCCAGCAGTTGCTGAGTGAGTACCCAATATGTATGGCCGGCCTTGTCTAGTACCTGGGGTGCAATGGCTTCTCCAATATGGTTTTCAAATATTTATTGTCCAGAACATGAAACTTGCAAGCTTTTGACATTTTTGCACATTTCATAAAATGAATACAGTACTGTAATATTAATACTCTTAAAAATGGTATAAATATTCATTCTTATTGCCTTCCTCAGCAAAGCAGGTTCTGTGGGGAAGGGGAATATTGCACCTTATTTTGCTTAATTTGATGTTAAATTAAATAACAAAATATATTTAAAAAATAAAGCTCTTAATCTCATTTGATAGAAAATGCAAATACTGTATATCAAATTTGGATTTGGAAAATTGTTTTTTGATTAGCTATACAATACAGTACTGCCATAAGCAGTGGATAAGAAAAGGACTACTGTATTTGAGAAAATCCATAGGAGCCTTGATGAAGATTCGAACCTGTGCAGTGGGTAGTCAGTCCCATGCACATCCGTAGGAATCGTGACAAGGTTCGTATCCTCATCACGGCTCCTACGGATTTTCTCATTGATAAATCACGTTAGTGTGGTTGCTCTCTGTACTATTTGAGATTATTTGTTTAGAAATGTTAACACTAGAACATCCGGCATCACGTCTGTACTTAGAACTGCCACTCTTCAGGGTCATTTTTGATCCATTGAAATTCTGGCCCTTTTTTAATATTTTTGAAATTCATGTTTAATGCTTGCTAAAATTCAGTTGTTTATTGAGGAGAAAAAAATAATGTTCTGGTTTATAAGTGTATTGATGCCATGTGGATATTCCCATTACCTGATGCCTGTTTGGGTTGTGTAACCTTGCATGCTGTTTGAATACTGTACTGCAGTGGCATGTTTGAAGGAGCATTATTCTCAAGCATTGAAGGAGGAGAGTAGACAAATGATGTCACCTGTGTTTGGAGATTTCACTTGGGGTTTATGATTAGTTTTGTAACGTCTTGCATATCTGCATGCTGAGCACTACCTGAAGCAGATTACTAAGAGCTGAAGTCATTGAAGACAATTACTCTTACTGACAACAATATCTGGGTTTAGAGACATTTGTTTATAAACCTCTACTAATCCTCTTTTCTTATTTCTAACTTGTATGCCTTTTATTTTTTGAATTGAAAATTGGAAATATTGATCTTGCTCTATAGGTAAATAAAATTGAATGATGTGTGTTAGCCTACAGTACAAGAGAGTGGGTTAAGTGGAAGTATGATGTATTTAAAGTTTGAATATTTGATTTGGTTTATATTTCCACATCATACTTCAGTGTTAAATACTTGGCAGCCAAGCTTTTTGTATAATTGTGTGCACTTGCATGATTTATTGTTTGAGTTCTTGTACTTTTTACACATTTAAAAGAATGTTTTGCAATACAAAAAAAAATAAGATTTCTCTAGATAGTCATATATAATTAACACAGAACTTATCTTACATTAATAAAATTATGATATGCTAAACAGAGTAGACACCTTCAGATAAAAACCTTATCTACATAGTAGACACCTTCAGATAAAGCCAAACGTCTAAACACCCTGGCTTCCTGTCCCTCGACACAATGAAATTAAAAAATATACTGTATATCGATAATCTTTTAATATGACAAGTGATTAAACAAGCTCACAAGTCACTATACAAGGCACTTTACATCAATGGTGAGTCACACAGTTACTAATCTTGCTCCACACCCACCCAACTGGGCGGCAGCTTTACAGTCACGTGCTCCACACCCACCCAACTGGGCGGCAGCTTTACAGTCATGTGCTCCACACCCACCCAACTGGGCAGCAGCTTTACAGTCATTTGCTCCACTCCCACCCAACTGGGTGGCACCTTTTCAGTCATTTGCTCCACACCCACCCAACTGGGCAGCACTTTTTCAGTCATGTGCAGCCTACACCTGCTATAAGCAAATTTTGGATACTTTGCCAAGATTCCTGGCAGTATATCATTATGAATGAAGTACTTACACATTTCTTAGACCCCATAAGATCTTGTCTTCTGCATTTTAACATCTTCATCTTAGTAAATTGTCCCCAAAAGTGCCAATTTATGTCTAGAAATTATTTTTCTTGCATGAAGATGCCAGTTTTCTTTCCTCTTTCTCAGTTTTAATTCATCAGCTAGTCTTTTCTTTCTTGTATTCATCCATATTAGATATCCCAGGTAAGTATACTGCACTTTTTTTTCACCCACTTCTTTGTTTTCTTGGTATTTGTGCATATTTGTTGATTGCCTTGCCATATCAGCATAAATCTTCAACACTAATGTATGATGCTACTAAGAAAGTACCTATTGTTACTGTGTAATGTAGCTCCTACCTAGAATAGTTTAGAGCCATTTTGACACAATGTCTGAGAAGACCTCGAGTGACCTATAAAACAAGCCAACGCCTTGCAAAACATACATTACGCATGCCCTAATACTATGGTATACTCCAAGTTGCAATTGCTACCTTAGAAAGTTTTGCATTAGTCATGTATGCTCTGGAAGCTACTTTGATTCATAACCTCAAGAACAATTATAACATCCCTAGAATGTCAGAAAAGGTACAAGTACCAGATACAACTGCTTGGTGGTGGGGCCCTGTAGCTACATCTGTCTTTGTTTATTCAGTTAATTAAGTACGTGATTCTTCCCCCCTAGTGTTCATTACATCACCTTTAATCATTACATTTCCTGTACTCGATACAGCCTATTTACTCATTTAGCCATACTGTTTATATAGTAAAGATATTTTATCTCAGGGATACTTTTCTCCATGACATAAAACAGTGTCTAGTATTCCATTTTTTTTATTTATATCTATCCTGCTTGTCAACTTTCTGGGTTTTATCTACCATAGATTTTTATAGCACTACTGTGCTTTCTTCTGGTATGCCTTCTCGTTTTCAATCTGCTAATTTTGTGTGATTCTTTCAGGTCACAGCATTTTAAGTGAGGAGAATCAACAGTTGCGACTGGAGCGGGATAATCTGACATCTAAGTTGGCCTCTACAAAGGAAACATTGAAGAACACAGAAGAGAAGCTATATAAAGCAAATCAGCGCAAGGAAAATGTTGAAAGAGCTATTTGTAAACAACTGTACAAGACACATGATGTGTTAAAGAAAGCAAACACACAGTTGAAGCAAGTAAATACTCTTCCTAAATAAATTTAATAACTGAATTTTATGAGGCTATTTGATATGTGAAATATTCGTTTTCCAGTTTGACATTTATTTTGTATTAAATTGGATCTTAGATGTGAAATAATATACATGTGCTGGCCATTGATAAATTTAGTAGTGCAACAGATGTTGATAACAGTTTCCAGAGAGAGCTCGGTCAAAACAATACATATACTGTACGTAGTGCAAATTACAAGTGTCGGAACTACAAATTTCTACGTGTAATTTGAAATGTACCTTGTGTTGTGTTGTGATGAAATTGTGAAGACAATCTCAAGTGTCTATTGCTCCAAACTATGGCTGTATGACTCTTGCTGTGTACCGTCCTCCATATTATTCTCAACTGTACAGTATACTGGTAAGTGATAAAAGAATACTGTACTCTGTAACATAGCATCAGGTATATTCCTCACTCTGTGATAATTGGAATACCCTAGGCAGGTCTGATACTTGGCTTTATCCATCAGTGTTTGTAAATTTTATTGGACTTTTCAGAAGGATGGCATCATATTGTTAAACATATGTTCATATTGTATATTTGGTGCTGATTTGCAACTATCCATCCTAAAGTATTGTTGGCACGGTGTTGCCAATTATGGTAAGTTAGCACTGTTGTGTGTCTTATGTCAGGTCCCCCCTCCCCCTTCTGTGATTACAATAGCTCATATCAGGTTTCTTTATCAATCTTTAAGGATTATTTAATAATAGAATTGAATATGATTATTGGTTCCAGACTTAGGCATATATTCATCACAAGCACTATTTTCTCCAGACATTCCAGCTGTCAGTAATGCACAACTTTAGTAATGAAGATCATCAGCTAAAGTTATTTGAAGGGCTATCTTCTGTGTTGTAACATTTTTCAATATCTTTGGTCTGGTTAGATTACAAATGTTTATAGTGTGATTTTTATATACAGTACTTAAGATCATAATTATACATTGTAAAGATTTCATTTAACCAATTTGTTATAAGATTACTTTTAATTAAATGCTGGGAAAACTTTCATGAACTGTAAATCAATGACTTAAGTATGATAGTAAACTGGGTTTGATGGTTTTGGTTAAACCGTGACGTTCTTTTCGTGTGGCTGCCGTTTAGGACTCGGCTGTGTGTCCACGAATAAAGCGTCTCTTTCTGTTTGGTACCAGAAACACGAAGTGTACACATAATATCAAGTCCTTTATAAGCAACTGCCTGCGACTTGTGCACAACTACTACTGCCTCTAATCCAGTCTGTTGTATTTTCTTAAAATTGGATTATGATTTACATGTATATTTGTAAGTGCAGTACTATTTATTGTAAGGACACTGAAAATGTTCTTGTGATGAACACAAACCTTTTACATTTGTTGTATTTATATTACCTAACCACTCCACATTGGTTTTAATGATTATCCAATAATTTGTATATTTAGAACACCAGGCATATAGGAACCTTTTAATTCTTAAGTGTGCTTGTATAAAATCGGAAATGTGTATACTGTATATTTTGTACCGAGATGGTTGTCTTCCACATTTTATTATGTACAAAGTAGGTTAAAAGTATGTGTATTTAGTGCACATGGGCCTCAAGTGAACTGATATGTATTATATAGCTGAACTGATATGAAGCTTAAAACATGAAATATTAATAGTTTTTATTTCCTTTATACTAATCATTTATATACTGTATATTGAAATAAGTAACTTGTTACTTTTGCACTGATCTATTCTTAAAAATAAGAAAAAAAGGTAACTAACCCTTCATAAGATTCAAGTTTACAGTTTAAAAGAAAAGGATAAACATTAAAATATAAAATGCCAGACCCAGGTATCAGATACACAAGGTATCTGCAAGGAACAAGAGGAGTGGCTGTGGTGTTTACCTTGAGCAAAAGAAATCCACGTGTAACATACATGCTGTACTGTATGACAAACCAACTTAAACTTGGGAGTTGGCTGTCATGAAGGAACATTACAGAAATGGCGTTGACATCAGGAGCTTAGGTCCGGGATATAAATGTAAAATCAAGTGGAGAGTCCGGCTCATTTATAAGATTGGAGTAGCAGTCTAGTTCTCCTCCCATCCATCCAATCTTATACTGCGCCATCAACTGAAACGAGAGAATTACAAAATTAAAGTCTTACAAAATTAAATTTTGTCAAGATAACCATTTTAGCAAATTCATAATTTCTACAAATATTCTCATATTGTATGATAATCCATTTTCTTGAATCACCACCTCTGGTATAGTCTGCCATATGTGTAATGCTGCGGATAAACAGCAGCTTGCAGAGGTTACCACAATATTCCTGCCTTAGACAAGCAGATGGTGTCATGGAATTCACAGTTTCAAGAGCAAGAACTACTGAGTACTGGAATGTCAAGAGGTATAAATACAACAATTACAATAGCTATGAGATCTTGCTTTGTGCAGTGAAACTGTAAGTACTCATCACATCAATTTTTGTTTGTCTTGAAATATGATGGCCAAGAGATATATCTCTGGAACAGCTTCATTCAAAGCATATTTATTAATTTATTTCAATTGTTTAAAAAAAAATTCTAGTATATAATTAACTTATGAAATGAGAATACTAATGTGTGGTAAAAAAAAATTAACAAAAAAGATGTAAGCATTAGCAACTTCAATGATATAAAGAAAAGATAAAAATGAACAACTTGACTGTATTACCTGTAAGACTACTGTATAGAGATTCTGCTCTGCCATTCTTCTACCAATACATGCTCGTGGACCATGACCAAAAGGTAGCACAAGGAAGGGATTTACATTTTCTTTTTCCAACCAGCGTTCAGGCAGAAATTTGTCTGGTTCAGGAAAATACTCTGGTAGCCGACAAGAAACTTGGTTTTGTGTCACAATCACTGTCTGTAGAAAAAAACTCGGTATTAATACAGTACAGTACTGTACTGTAGTTTTGTTGAATATCTGTAATACTTGTGTTTCCCTGGAAGCTCTCCCTCAGATATTTCAACTGCTTTCAAATGTTAAACACGTTTAAAGAAGATTGAAAATTTATGTCCTGATTTGTCTATTTGGTGACCATCTGTCACTTTCTTGCATTAAACAATGCAATATGTATACTACTGTATTGTAGATTTTCTCCGCTGTATATGGAGGAAATATGATAAAGCTCAGCAATCAGATACACAATCAAAACCATAAACTATAAACCCTTGATAGAGTGCATATCCCATATTTAAATTCTTACAAGTGTTTATTATATGAAAGCTGTATACAGAATCTCATGTCTAGTCTATATCTTTAAAAGTATAGAGTTCAGCAATACTAATCTTGGCAAATGTTTTTAAGAGTACCACAATAAAACTCATGCACTACACAAGAAACAATTACTTTTTACAAAATAATATAATCATTTCAATATATATGAACACTTTGGGCAACTTTTTAATGCACCTGATGCATGTGTTTATGTAGCATGTGTGTAAATAGGAACCCCAGGAGTTAGGCAACTGTTGTGGGGTTGCATCTGTTATTGCCCTAGGGAAACCTTAATAAGACTCACAAGTTTCCTGTACCCAACAGTGGGTAACTAAGTCTTTAGATTTAAAAGCCATATTCACAAAAATGTAGTTGATAATTATTAAAAGTATTAACAGGGCTTACATTTTTTGGAATTCTGTATCCTCTAATGATAACATCATCTTGGGTTATCCGTCCCACACCAATGGACACCGGCCGAAGCCTATAAGTTTCCTTCAAAACAGCCTTCAGGTACCGTGCTTCTGCCAGCACTCGTACTGTAACCTTTGCCAAGAGCCGGGAAGAACATAAGTTAGACGTGTGTGAGTAATACAACTGGCATTATATATCGGTAAATTCAATGGTATTGTGTTATACTCACATTACAAAAAGATACTAAAAATCAGGACATTATGTAATACAGTACCACAATTCAACCTTTCATTCATGCAGTAAAGTCAACAACAGCTATTTTCAGTAGCCAATTAGGATGGCACAATAGCAAAGTATCCTTACACTATATTATGCAGGGTCAACAGTTGATGCCTGATGGTGTAATATCTCAACTCCTTGTCCTCATATCCTCTCCAAGTGCTATACAGTGTAGTCGTAATGGCTTAGTGTTTACTCCTGAGAACTAATTTACCTTATTATAGTTGTATTAAACTTTCACAGCCTAGGTGTAGTAGGGTCTATTTGTTGCAATTAGTGCATTAACTCTTGCTTGCACAACATCGTGGTATTGGTTATACACTGCACCTTTCTCAATGACTCTCCAGCACAAAGGAAAATGTCATGCATTCCAGGAGGGTTCCTTCTCCAAAGAACAAAGTGGCACTCTACCTACACAATACCATCATGCTTGGTCAGACACTGAGCCACGGGGGGCATTGATACTCTGAATCACCAACAGGTAAGCACTAGGAGCGCTAGTCCTTCTCCTTTCCCATGGCAATCCATATGATGGGCACAGTATCCTGAGACAGTGGAGGGCAAGGAGGAATAAAGCCAGGTCTCAGGTCTCCCAGTCACCACCAAAGTGGAGAAGTGTCAGCCAGCAATTAATAGTACAGTAATCATGCGACTTCAGCAAGTGCAGGTGCACATTCCAGAAACATCATAGTACATGTGTTGGAGCAAGACTTTAGGGGGCTGGCAAACATCAGCATGATCATCTTTGTGGTAGTGATGTACTTATGGATGTGGGACACCACTTTTGAGATCAGAGTTTGAGCCACAGTGGATGTGCAGGACCCACATAAGTTCATTATCTAACCCCCAGGTCTACAGGGCCAATTCAGCCATACATGGCAGCCAATTCCTCAGAACAGCAGAGTGCCTTTCAATAGCTGACTGGCCAGAGGCACATATTATCACATACTGTATATGTAAATACTTTATCCATGTACTTCAAATTTAAATAATTGCCAAAATAACTTAAACACCTAACCTACCCTAATTTAAGCATAACTATACAAAATTTCTAATATATAATAATAATACTTTATATATGAGAAAATGACTATTTTGAATACACAGTACTGTACATTAAAACTAATGAATGTGTCTTTGGGATCAGACATTGCATGGACAAACATAACCTGAAGATAGAATAACTGCCAGACCCAGCAAGCAGTGTAACTCACCTCACCACCAGACCCAGCAAGCAGTGTTACTCACCTCATCACCAGACTCAGTAAGCAGTGTTTCTCACCTCACCACCAGATCCAGCAAGCAGTGTTACTCACCTCACCACCAGATCCAGCAAGCAGTGTTACTCACCTCACCACCAGACCCAGCAAGCAGTGTTACTCACTTTATCACCAGACTCAGTAAGCAGTGTTTCTCACCTCACCACCAGATCCAGCAAGCAGTGTTACTCACCTCACCACCAGATCCAGCAAGCAGTGTTACTCACCTCACCACCAGACCCAGCAAGCAGTGTTACTCACCTCATCACCAGACTCAGTAAGCAGTGTTTCTCACCTCACCACCAGATCCAGCAAGCAGTGTTACTCACCTCACCACCAGATCCAGCAAGCAGTGTTACTCACCTCACCACCAGACTCAGTAAGCAGTGTTTCTCACCTCACCACCAGATCCAGCAAGCAGTGTTACTCACCTCACCACCAGATCCAGCAAGCAGTGTTACTCACCTCACCACCAGACCCAGCAAGCAGTGTTACTCACCTCACCACCAGACCCAGCAAGCAGTGTTACTCACCTCACCACCAGATCCAGCAAGCAGTGTTACTCACCTCACCACCAGACCCAGCAAGCAGTGTTACTCACCTCACCACCAGACCCAGCAAGCAGTGTTACTCACCTCACCACCAGACCCAGCAAGCAGTGTTACTCACCTCACCACCAGATCCAGCAAGCAGTGTTACTCACCTCACCACCAGACCCAGCAAGCAGTGTTACTCACCTCACCACCAGACCCAGCAAGCAGTGTCCTAGCCTCAGTTGCCAGCAGCTCCTGTTTGTCCGGGTTTGTGGCCAGGTTGTGCAACACATACGATAGAGTGAAAGCAGCCTGGAATATAATTTTGAGCATCAAGTCTAAATACTGTACGCTGTAATAGTTTCCAGTTATATTTTTATGTTATGGAAGTTTATTGGAAAAAATACAACACATAGAAATGCTTACTGTATCGATCCCAGCCAGTAAGGTATCACAGATGATGCCTACAATGTCCTTTTTATCCAGACCACTTTCCAAGAGAAAATATTCAAGCACAGAGAGGGGCTCCTGGGCCTCCTTACTGCTGGTCTTCTCACTCTTGGCTGGATGCCCCTTCAGTTCCTTTTCCTTAGCTTCAATATATTTTATTGCAATTCTGTAAAAGGAAGATATAGAGCAGTAGATAATATTAGCATGGCAGCTTTTCCTAGATGCCATGTCAACACACTATATCCCATTCAGTACTGTGTTAACCATAGCATTTGACTTGCTTCAGATTTAGGTGGATATATGCAACCTGCAAATTAGTTAAAATTTCCACTAATCTTGATAAAAAAAAATTGTGAGTTAATGCTGCAGTAATGGGCATAAGTTGGGTAGTTCACCTGTATATGGTATCCTGTCCCTGAACCAGTTGTCTATAGAGTGGTGTGTTGAAGTACCGCCACAGCTGGAGACCATTGTCAGTGCCGATGATGCTGGAATTGGAGATGTGGGCTGCGTGCATCAGATCCTTGGCTTCCTGATTGATGCTGTGTAAGGATGACCTGTTGATAGCTCCCAGGCGTACATCAAGAGCAGCCACCATGGTCACTTATCAAGAAGGTAGTTTGTAATTAATTTACTTAAATCATTTTACCATAAATAAAATAGGAATACAGTAGGAATAGGAATACTTATGCAAAGCTTGACCCCAAATTGAGGAAAAGGGGCTTTGCACCATATCATTAGTCTATGTACTTCTGTTTTGACACTATATTCCTCTCATCCCAGGCACAGTACTGTCCTCAAGATATATAAACTTTCTTCTCTACTTAGAAGTAATTGAAACCTGGTAAAATATTTATGGAGTTCCTCCACAAAACATGTTACAATATTGCAAACTTATCTCATGTAAAGTAAAGGTGCTGATCATGTTACATATAGTGATCATGTCATGGGCATTGACTATGGCACATGTGTTGATCATGTCACGTGTTGATAATGTCATGTGTGTTGATCATGTCACATATGTTGATCATGTCACAGGTGTTGATCATGTCACAGGTGTTGATCATGTCACATGTGTTGATCATGTCACAGGTGTTGATCATGTCACAGGTGTTGATCATGTCACATGTGTTGATCATGTCACATGTGTTGATCATGTCACATATGTTGATCATGTCACAGTTGGTGATTATATCACTGAACCTGTGATCTAATCACATTTCCTGTGCGTTTTATCTACGCACAGTGCGTAAATAACATGATGGTGGCGTCTTATTTACAACAAAACGCATTACAAGTATTTTCAAACCCTATCAAAAATATCCCTGAAACATAAATGAATCTAAGTTATAATAAAATTAGATTCGTATGTTAACCCAATTCACCTGTGAAAGTGTGACATTATCTTACTTACATTCAAGAAAGAGTCGACGCTCAACCTCCAGAAAATTCGATATATGGCCAGTTTTGGGGCAGCGAATATTATCAAGAAGATCCACAAAGTCACACGACACCTATGGAATCATTATAATTTACAATTAGCGATCCCTGGCTAATTTGGCTTATTTGATTAGGAACTAATAAACCAAATAAACCGGGAAGCCGGATTCTTATTTCAGTCTACCTAAAGATATAATGAACTTTTAAAGGATTATATGGGATGGAAAATAGCAATGAGAAGTAAGGAATTATCAGAATTATAATAGCCTTACGACAATATAATAGCACTTGGAAGGGGTCATGATAAGAATTCGGGATGGGACGGGGGGAAGGAATGGTGCCCAACCACATGGACGGTCGGGGATTGAACGCCGACCTGCATGAAGCGAGGCCGTCGCTCCACCGTCTATGAGAAGTAATGGTGAATGAGGTGTGGGCGAGGACACTTACCGTGTTGACCTGAGGCAGGCGGCGAGCCACACTCTGCACGCGGCTCAACACCACCTGGGCCCGACGCCGGATCAACCACCACTTCTCACCATTCCTAGGAAATACGATTTACGTTTACTTCATTGTACTGAAGGTCAGTAATTCTAGATTAGTCAGTGTTGTAGGCGAGTACTCATATAGGCAGCGTTGACCTAATATTAGTTAGGTATCACATGGACAGTTCCACAATGGTAGGTCAATAAGTACTTGAATTGAGAGTAATACACTCACCATAGGTAAATGATCACATGGGTCGTAATTCCACCTCTAAAGGCCAGTACTTTCATGTACCAGTACTTTCCAGTACCAGTACTTAAGTACTGGTAAGTAAGTTTAAGTACCAGTACTTTCATGAAAAATAGCCCTGAATTCAGCCCGTCCTCTCGAGTTGTTACAATGCACAGTAAATAATGTTCTAAATTACCTGGGTACTTCTACCCTCCGTTTGTTCTGCATTATATGTAAGGTCTGACCGTTGTTCTTCACTATATGTCCCGCCCTGCCTATGTAAGGCCTGACCGTTGTTCTTCACTATATGTCCCGCCCTGCCTATGTAAGGCCTGACCGTTGTTCTTCACTATATGTCCCGCCCTGCCTATGTAAGGCCTGACCGTTGTTCTTCACTATATATGTCCCGCCCTGCCTATGTAAGGCCTGACCGTTGTTCTTCACTATATGTCCCGCCCTGCCTATGTAAGGCCTGACCGTTGTTCTTCACTATATGTCCCGCCCTGTCTATGCAAGGGTTGTCCGTTATCTTACATGATGTCTCCTCCGGCTTGGCGCCTTCTTTTGATAATTACTTACATAATATGTTCGGTCGGCCTGTACAAGGTCTGTCCGCTATCCTACACAGTACGTCTATCTCCAGCCCTGTCTGTTCAAGGTCTGACTCTTGTTCTACGTTGTCAATAGTACTGCAGATGAATAATAACAGACATAGACCCGGAACACAGTAGCAGAGAGAGGAGTGATGTGGGGCGAGTACTCACGTGGGCAACAATCCCCCAGTATTGTACATGTGTGGACGGTCGAGCCGGTACTTCTCCAGTGCGAGGTGCGACCGTCTCATGGGGTAGCGGCCCTCGGTGGCGTACATGACTTCGATGTCTCGCGGGTCAAAGAGCAGGAGGAGGGTCACACCGGCCACCAGTCGCTCCCGCACCAGGGGCCCGAATTGCTGCAGCTTCCGAAGGCCAGTGTGGTGCAGGCGCTTGAAGGAATACTGACCTGAGGTAAAGCGCTCGGCTGGTATTCATTTCCCTCTCTAAGTTCAGCTATATAATTTATTATACATTTATGTAAAATTCCAGGCATGAATATTGTCAGTAGACTATACCAGGTGTCCATAACACCATGTAGACTATATACCAGGTGTCCATAACACCAGGTAGACTATGCCAGGTGTCCATAACACCAGGTAGACCAGGTAGACTAGGTGTCCATGCCACCAGGGGACAACAACTTACCGACAAATGGCAAATAGTGGTATAAAGTCCCCACCACTGGCAGGGAGACGGGTCCGGGAATGTCCTCAAAGGGCCGCACATCTTGGTGGCGAGGGGGAGACCCGCCTTCCCTCGCCCCCGCCTGCTGCGAGCCTGGCAGGGTGCAGGAGGCCGCACTCCCCACCCTGTAGCACCGTCTGGGTGTTCCCAATCTTGAACACCCCGCCACACAACCTCTCAACCCTCTACCGCCAGAAGTCACCATTGTGAGTTGCATCTTGACTGAAACTTTTGTTCAGTGTTGGTATCAACATTTACAAGGAATAATTGTCTATAGTATCATTATACGAACAATTGTATTGACGAGTCTTTAGCAAGGCTAGGCACTGATATATGGAGAGTTAGGTTTGTCTTGTAAGAGGTTCACAGTGACCAGTCAGACGGGACGTCTACCACTGAGAGAGGCTGAGAGGGTGTAGTGAGGGAGGACACCCATGGCCTTGAACTCCGCCCGCGGCCTCCAGCTGGGGCCTGTGGTTAAATCGTAGACAATATGGTTTAATAGCTCGTTTTCTGATTGTTAAAACCGTATATATATATATATATGTTTATTTTTTGTATAAAATCAGATATGTAACTGTATAACCTTGCATAATAAAGTGTACATCATAATAAATAAAAAAAAAAAAAAGGGGGTGGTAGGAGAAGTGAACACTCTTTCGTATTCAGAGTTAAATGTCAAGTTTTTCCCTGAGTGCTCTGTGTTCCCTTCTCTGAGGCTGTGGGTCCCTATAAATGCACCAGTGGTGGTACCCCCCTATATATATATATATATATATATATATATATATATATATATATATATATATATATATATATATATATATATATATATATATATATATATATATATATATATATATATATATATATATATATATGTCGTACCTAGTAGCCAGAACTCACTTTTTGGCCTACTATTCAAGGCCCGATTTGCCTAATAAGCCAAGTTTTCCTGAATTAATATATTTTTTCTAATTTTTTTCTTATGAAATGATAAAGCTACCCATTTCATTATGTATGAGGTCAATTTTTTTTATTGGAGTTAAAATTAACGTAGATATATGACCGAACCTAACCAACCCTACCTAACCTAACCTAACCTATCTTTATAGGTTAGGTTTGGTTAGGTAGCCGAAAAAGTTAGGTTAGGTTAGGTTAGGTAGGTTAGGTAGTCGAAAAACAATTAATTCATGAAAACTTGGCTTATTAGGCAAATTGGGCCTTGCATAGTAGGCTGAGAAGTGAGTTCTGGCTACTAGGTACGACATATATATATATATATATATATATATATATATATATATATATATATATATATATATATATATATATATATATACATATATATATATATATATATATATATATATATATATATATATATATATATATATATATATATATATACATATATACATATATATATATATATATATATATATATATGTCGTACCTAATAGCCAGAACGCACTTCTCAGCCTACTATTCAAGGCCCGATTTGCCTAATAAGCCAAGTTTTCATGAATTAATGTTTTTTCGTCTACCTAACCTACCTAACCTAACCTAACCTAGCTTTTTTTGGCTACCTAACCTAACCTTACCTATAAATATAGGTTAGGTTAGGTTAGGTAGGGTTGGTTAGGTTCGGTCATATATCTACGTTAATTTTAACTCCAATAAAACAAAATTGACCTCATACATAATGAAATGGGTAGCTTTATCATTTCATAAGAAAAAAATTAGAAAAAATATATTAATTCAGGAAAACTTGGCTTATAAGGCAAATCGGGCCTTGAATACTAGGCCAAAAAGTGAGTTCTGGCTACTAGGTACGACATATATATATATATATATATATACATATATATGTATATATGTATATATATATATATATATATATATATATATATATATATATACTATAATTTTATATATGTATATATATATATATTATTAGGAATGATTAATTATTCATACATAATCATTCATATACAAAATCATATACATAATCATTCCATAATTAGGAATGTCAAGTTTTTCCCTGAGTGCTCTGTGTCTCTGAGGCTGTGGGTCCCTATAATTACACCAGTGGTGGTACCCCCCTATATATATATATATATATATATATATATATATATATATATATATATATATATATATATATATATATATATATATATATATATATATATATATCGTTAGGTTAGGATGTGTGAACTTAGGTTAGGCTCGGTTGGATTTGGTTAGGTTTCGACGTTCTCGACTCATAATTAGGAATTCTGGATTCGAATCCCGAGCGGCACAGAAGTAGTTGGGTGCGTTTGCTATCACCTAATGTATCTGTTTACTTAGCAGTAAATAGGTCAGCCACTCTTAAGGTTTTCCAACGTCAAAAAAGATCATATTAAAGTGTCGTCTCTTAATTTATCAGAGGACCCAAAACAGAAAACGGAGACAGTACGTCACTTTTGCGAGGCGCTTTCATTTTCTAGTACGACAATTTTTGGCCTTATGTAACGCATTCGATTGAAATGCGACGTTCTTTGTAAGAGGACGGGTTGAATAGGTACCTGGGAGTTAGCCAACCGTTGTGAGGTTGCCTCCTGGGGAAGGTCAGTAGTTCGACCTTGGTAAGGGGGGAAGGGGGACGTTGATATAAGCCTAACATGTATATATACACTGGCTGCCTGTCCCTTCACAACATGAATTATTATTATAAATCTTAAAATCCGTTAGCGAAATGATTCCGATATGATGTATCCCTCCGGCTAGGCTGTGACAACAAGAAAGTCTTACCATGCTGGCAACGACAGGAAAGTCTTATAGAATTACTTAAGTCTTCTGAGCACATTTACAACATCCAGCATAATATTTCTTCTAGAACCTTACATTATCAACTATACCAGCACACTCGATCATCTGGTGTCATTGCCTTAGATCTTTCTAGTTATCCAGTTTGGATGAACTTTTTGGACTCCATTTAATTGTCGCTTCCCGGAGCTATCCATCGTTTATAAATATAGAAAAACTGTTTAGAATTCTTCAAGTTTTTAGAAATGTCATCTTATGTTCCAGCATTATGTTCATCCTTCTTCACATTTTATATTATTCATTTTAGATTAATTAATTTTTAATGATAAAAATAGTTTGATTACCTTTCCGTTTCTGTTCGTAAATAACTTATTTTTCCTAACGTGCCTTCTCATCCATCCTTATTGCTGTATAATCATTGCAATTTTTTGTAAATATCTTGGTTTATCTTGCCTTTTCTAAGTGATCTCATCGTTTCCGCTCCTTATAGCATAGGCTGCTTGTATACATTTCATAGATACCCTTTCATTTTGTTTATTGAAAATTCCCTCCTTTAATAAAATGTGTGCGCGTGTGTGCACACGCACGAAAGGTGACCTCTAAGTGTTAAAAATAGACGCTCACCGTCCAGTGAGATTGAGCAATGGCGGGCTCTGTCTTCCCTCTTCACCCCCGGCAGGTGATGTGCAGCATGGCTGGTGTCTTCAAAATAAATAAATGTTTATTCGGGTAAAGTACATACATACAAGAGGTTATACAAAAATTGATAGATTTATAGATAGAGCCAGTACATACAATTGCTTGGAGCGGGCAGCTCCAAGCAACAGCCTGGTGGACCAAACTCTTACAAGTCAAGTCAGGCCCCGGGCCAGGCTTGGGGAGTAGAACTCCCAGAACCCCATCAACCAGGTATCAACCAGGTATACAATGCCTAAAGCCACTATTACGCAAAGCGTTTCGGGCAGGAAAAACTTTAAAGACTAAAACTTACTACTAATTGAGATTAAAGTATATTCAGACTCTGCTCAGTTTATTATTAATGTTATAACACCTGCAAATCTTGCATAGTGTACACATTTCATTTCTAGTAGATAAAATAAATACATGTATAATGAAATTATAAGTTGTATATCCTGTCTGTATCACTATACATGTTAACAGCACATTAGATATTTTATCCTGTAAAATTCTGTCTTGATGATCATGTAATCGAGTTACTTAAATGACTTAGCTACAATTTGTAGTCATATTGCAGTGCTGAAACTAGTTGAATATTTTGGGCTCCATATAAACGGTGTAGGAATTTTGCAGCAATAAGGTCTCTCTTGATTCTGGGGCTCCCAAAACTTAGATGACGCAACCTTTTGGGGTCAACCCGGGCACCACCGGGTCGTTTAAACAAATGATTAAAACTCTATGGACTCACGGTCGAACATTTCATATCCTCAGACTTTATTATAGGGAGCCGACCTCACTATGACCGTCCCATTACACCTACCAGTCACCCTGCAAGTGTAGTGACACCAGACCCCAAGCATCTGACCTCCAGATTCAGAGAATAGTTTAATCTCTGTCATTTGTTTTATACTGCATCTTTAATAAGCAAGACATACAACATGATAGATTCCGATACATAATTGTTTGTGGCATGTTATTGGGTTTGTATCATAATGAACAAGGGTCTTGGTAAGTATAGTAGCTTCTTAAATTATTTATATGGGAGAATCTTCATCGTCTGATTTTACACACTAGAACATTTTGCTCATTAAATATAGTGATGTGTTCTGGTAGATAATAACTTCCTCTAAGAAATAACTTTGATATGTTTTACTGAGAAAGGCCACCATCATCTTCCACAGGAACAAAACCCTCTAGATGTCACGAACTTTCTGATTTCCAGAAAGCTTTTGACACAGTACTCCACAGGAGACTATTGCACCAGCTGGAGTTGCAGGCAGCAGTGAAAGGGAAGGTACTTCATTGGATAGTAGTAGTAGTAGGCATCCATCAGTCTCAGGAGACTATGGAATTGCACTCTGGTGTCGGCCTGGTCTGGAGTGGCCTCACCAGGGCGCAAAGCCAGGGTAGGTTGATTCGGGGGAGAAGCTGTTACCCAGGCAGCAGGTCCCTCCTCTCCACGGCTTCCCTCTTATCATTGGATAAGGGAGTATCTAAGCAACAGAAGACAGCGAGTCACTGTGAGGGGTTAGGTCACAGAGTAGCGAGGCGTCACCAGTGGAGTCCCTCAGGGATGATATACGTAAATGATTTCCCAAAGGTAATAGACTCGTTCCTCTCAATGTTTGCTGATGATGCAAAAATTATGAGGAGAATTAACAAAAAGGAAGATAGCATGAGGCTACTACAAGATGACCTAGACAAACTAAAGGAGTGGTCCAACAAATGGCTACTAAAGTTCAACCCAAGTCAATGTAAGGTAATGATATATATATATATATATTATATATATATATATATATATATATATATATATATATATATATATATATATATATATATATATATATATATGTCGTACCTAGTAGCCAGAACTCACTTCTCAGCCTACTATGCAAGGCCCGATTTGCCTAATAAGCAAAGTTTTCATGAATTAATTGTTTTTCGACTACCTAACCTACCTAACCTAACCTAACCTAACTTTTTCGGCTACTTAACCTAACCTAACCTATAAAGATAGGTTAGGTTAGGTTAGGTAGGGTTGGTTAGGTTCGGTCATATATCTACTTTAATTTTATCTCCAATAAAAAACAATTGACCTCATACATAATGAAATGGGTAGCTTTATCATTTCATAAGAAAAGAATTAGAGAAAATATATTAATTCAGGAAAACTTGGCTTATTAGGCAAATTGGGCCTCACATAGTAGGCTGAGAAGTGAGTTCTGGCTACTAGGTACGACATATATATATATATATATATATATATATATATATATATATATATATATATATATGTCGTACCTAGTAGCCAGAACGCACTTCTCAGCCTACTATGCAAGGCCCAATTTGCCTAATAAGCCAAGTTTTCATGAATTAATGTTTTTTCGACTACCTAACCTACCTAACCTAACCTAACCTAACTTTTTCTGCTACCTAACCTAACCTAACCTATAAAGATAGGGTAGGTTAGGTTAGGTAGGGTTGGTTAGGTTCGGTCATATATCTACGTTAATTTTAACTCCAATAAAAAAAAAATGACCTCATACAAAATTAAATGGGTAGCTTTATCATTTCATAAGAAAAAAATTAGACTAAATATAATAATTCAGGAAAATTTGGCTTATTAGGCAAATCGGGCCTTGCATAGTAGGCCGAGAAGTGCATTCTGGCTACTAGGTACGACATATATATATATATATATATATATATATATATATATATATATATATATATATATATATATATATATATATATATATTGTATAAGATAATAGTCGGGTATTCCCCCGACACAATGAAATATTATTATTTAATTATTTTAACCTTATCGAGATTGATAGGCCTAAAGCCCAACGTCACAAAATAACTGATAAAGTTTGTATTTACGGGTTATATAATACAGTAAAAATGCTCCAGCTTTTATTTTATTTGTTATATTTACTGATGTTAAATCCGAGTAATTTAACTAAAATTATATTATATTTTTATTAGTGTATATATAAATATTAATAACTTTAATGTTCCTACTTCAAAAAGACATAATAATTTGTTTTTAGACTTTATCTTTACTGTATAATACGGTGTTAACCAGCGGGCGGCTGTCACAGGGGTCAAGTTTTACATATTGATTGTGGGGGAGAAGGAGAAATAAGAGAATAATTAAGATATATTCGAGGTAAGTCTACATCATTTACACATCTTTTAAGCAACTTGTGACCTTGTTTAAGGTTTTCCTTTGATGTACGTATCCAGTAGTGAAGTAATGAGGAGCGTAACACAACGTTGCTGTGTGGCCAGCAGAGTTATAATAAACCCTGGCAGATAAGGTAATTGAATAGTGTTGCAATTGTGCCCATTGGGTTTTGATATTGCCTTAAGGCGTGCTTTCCTAAACAGCCCAGATTAATGTAATGCCAGGCACACACGGAGGGTACTGGATAGTGGTCACTTCGTACGCAAGAGCTGCCTGGAACTGGCTGTTAGTGTTGACTATTTATCCTCGACCAGCCTTCCATTTGGTCGTTGGCTGTATACAGTCATATGGCTTAGTTCACTTTTACCCAGCCTAAGGTGTGGCTGGCTACAAATGATGACGGTGCCGAGGTTTCTAAAGTGACAACAACAGTATCAGTACAGTAGACAGTGACAGGTAAGGTAAGGTGGTGCTCCTTCTGTCTGCTCAAACTCGATGTACAATTTGTATTGGATTTTCTTTTGTAATGATGAGCCTGATGAATGATGCACGCCATTGAGGTTGAATATGTACAGTTAGCTTGTATTTTTATTTATTTATTTATATATACAAGAGTTCTTACATTCTTGTACAGCCACTAGCACACATAGCATTTCAGGCAAGTCCTTAATCCTAATATTCTCTGGAATACAACTCCACCCAATTGTTTAACAACCAGGTACTCATTTTACTGTTGGGTAAACAGAGGCTACAGTTAAGGATTGGTGCCTGGTAAATCCTCCCTGGCCAGGATACGAACTCAGGCCAAAGCGCTCCCGAAATGCCAGGCGAGTGCCTTACCACTACGCCACGGGGACTTCAGGTATTGCTTGTACTGTATAGGTATTCCATAGTAGAGATGCAATATTTATGCTTTTCTTGAATATTTTTTGACACATTAGTGTTTGAATCGTCTTCCTAATACAGTACTGTACGCTAAAATTTTAATCCATAGTTTTCACATGTCTTAGATATAGGAACATGGTAATCATCATTCAGTTCCAGATTATTAAATTTATGCATTTGTGCTTAATTAAATTCTTACTAATATATAAGCTTAGAAATGTAACAAAAATTACTTTCAAGACAAAACATATTACAGTGTAATGAAATGAAGAAAAGACAAAAAATAATATGCAGGTTAATTTTGTTTATCTTTCATAATTAAAAATAATATAGGGTAAATTTCTGAGTATAAGTTGCTTTCTACATGCAGGCAATGAATCACAATAACGTGGTTGAAGTATGTTGACCAGACCACACACTAGAAAGTTAAGGGACAACGACGTTTCGGTCCGTCCTGGACCATTCTCAAGTCGATTGTGACTATGTAATGTTTATGGCATCCTATCCTAAAACTTTGCTGTATTTTTGTCACATTCACTTTTCTCCTGAAAGTTGTTCCATTTCCTAATTATTCCATTATTGAAGAAATTACCTGGTTTGATACAAACATTTTCCCAGTTCTGAACCTGGACAATTTTTTGGTTAGCATGTTTTTGCTTTTCAGGTTGTTTAGTCATGCAAACTTAATGCTCATTTCTAGTACTGTATCTCTGCCACCATACTTGTCAGGGGTACTATTTTGCATTACTAGTTGAACTCGTTTGCACGTTCCCTCAGTAACTAAGGAGATACAGTAATTCATCTGTGTAAATGCTATAGGAAATTGCATGTATTTGCTGTAGTACTGCATATCCTAACTTTAAGCTGTATGCATTTTTTGGCTTGCAGGACTGTATACCTACGGGACTGGTATAATAAACATTCAGAAAAAATTAATAAAATTAATTAACATTTTGAATGAAATTGATGAAAGATTTTTTTATTATAGTTTAAACTTTTTTGTCCATTTTGTATAAATTAAACCACCAACAATTACCAATTTAATTAAAGTACAGTACCTCCAAATTTATTTGTAAAGTTATTTATTTTCTAATTTATTGTTATGTACTGTGTACAGCATTGTCATCATGCCGGGGCACAAGCTTGAGCTTCAGGCTTTGTTTTTAAGAGTTAAACAAAATATATTTAGAAATGGGAGAGAAAAAATTGCATTCCAGAATCATTCTTTATTTTATATTATAATTTGTTTATATTTTCTAATACCATATTTGTATGTTCTGTATTTTGTACATGGGTGTTCTTCCAGGGGAAAAAAAATATATACTGTATATATAATATATCTTCATATATTAGCAGAATAATAGCACAATACCATATTACAGCTTAAAGAATTGGGTGCATTGTCATTTATGATATGATACTGTCTATTTCAAAGTTAGTTTTTAATATTTACAATTTAGATAAGAGAGCTATACTAAACCATCATACTGTATTAGTAAATATAATTTTATTTGCAGTTTCATATAAATAAATGTACTGTACAAAGATGGAATGTTATGAATTTTCAGAAAGTTCACATTAAAACAATAAGAATAAATTATTGTTCTTTAGATAGTCACCAGTCTATGAACACTTAAGACATCTATTGACATTCACAATGGGCTATAAGATACTGTAGTTATATTTAGTTTATTGCAAAATGTATGGAATGAATCTGAAAATGAGACATTGTTTTATAAAATGACATGGGACTGGACTCTGTACATACAATACCCATTGGAATATTAACCTAAAACTGACACAGTTTAGGGTTTCATAGTGCACTCACTTATCAGCAACAACTGAGCTAATCAGTAACCATCTGAGAATATCGTAAATGGCGGCAGGGTGTGTCACTACTCTTCTGTGATGTTTCATATTGTTTGTGTGCATTTATTGGAGGGCTTCCTCAGTAATTCTGAGATAAACACTGGTCCAGCCAAGCCTCGGGGAAGTGCACAAGGCCTGTAAGACCAAACCTTGGTTACCAGAAACCAGAACCAGAATCTGGCTCTGTATGAGGCAAAAGGAATGTGGGATTAGGGATTAGCCAAAAATCTATTATGAATATCCACAGAAAGCATAAGTGCATCAAAACAAGCCATTTTCTGAAGAAAATTACTAGTAGGTACTCTTTGGTAATCAAACAAACAATTGTTGCTGCGGTGTAAACCTCCTAAACAATATGCACTTCACCACCACCAGATGGCAACCCAGGTCACTCAGGGTCCTAATCAGATCCCCTCCATCCATCCACACACTCTTTAAGAGCCTGTCACAGCTCTGGGGAAATGGAACCTCTAATTAGACCAGATAAAGGTCAGATCTTCTTTTGCCACATGACCTTAGCTGGGTATCTGCCTCTAGCTCTCATCACTCTGGCTAGGTTTGGCCAGATTCTTCACCTGTGGCACGGACACACTACAATTTGAGTCTGCGGCATCATGCCGCAGACTCAAATTGTTTCGGCATATCTGTAATTTGTGGAGTTCTGCACTCTATCTTCATTTGAATTGCACCCTAATAGTTTATTGCCTTATTGGGTCGTTGATTCACTTCATTCCAGCATCAATTCTGGCTTTTATAGGTTTAGTCCTTATTGAGGTTCACTTTCGATGCATGCCAGCCTTTTACAGTTTCTCTTGCTTCTGTTAGAATTCAATAGTATGGAGAAGTAGATTTGACAGTACAGTACGGAGCAATAGCTTTTGGGAGTTTCTGTACTTTGTTTCACAAGACCGTGTTTATGATCAGAGTTTTGTGATTGCAGTCTACATCCATTAAAAGTATTGTAACAGGAGTTCTGTACAGTCCTCTTTATAATTATACACTAGTCTTATCAACAAAAATAGATTATTGTATATTTGTGAGATCATTTTTTGTTAATTACTAAACTATAGTAGTTGCTTATAATAAATTCTGTGTATATAAAAGAGGCCTCTTATACAGTATTTTTATATGGTATACAAAATAATTTACTTGGAAATAAGAAAAAAAAAAATTGACTGAGAAAATCATTAGAGCAGGATGGGGATCAAACCAGCATCCTGGGTACAACCTAGCACTCGCCTAAATCTACTAGGAGTCTGGAGACACCGGGCTGGTAGCAAGCCCAAATTGGCTGCAATGATTTTCTAATAAATATATCATGTTTATTGTAATTACCTTGTTTATCTGGACAATGAATTCTTTCTTTGAAGACTCTACATGCCGGGATATATAAATTATTCTATGTATAGAGACAGAAATATGTTTTTTTTGTGCCTACTTAGCATTTTAGAGATATAAATGACAGAAGGATCAACATTTATTAAAACGACTATAGCTAATTTTCTAGTTAAAAAATTCATTGTATTGTGGGGCAGTCAGACTGTATATATACATATTAGGCTTGTAGCAAGCTCATTCCCAAGGTTGAACAACTGACCCTTCCCAGGAAGCAACCTTCAACAAGCTGATTGACTCCTGGGTACCTGTTTACTTTTAGATGAATAGAGCATTAGGTGATCAGAAACTCGCCCAACAATTTCTGTCCTGCCCGGGATTCGAACCCAGAATTCCCGACTGTGAGTCAAGAATGAACCTGACTGTCTTACCAGAATAATAATACAATGGAGACTTATTAATAATGTATCATATATACAGTATAGTTAAGTATATCTATTTAATCTAACAAGGATGTTGCTGATAGAATAGTTGGAAGCCGTGTCCTGTGAACCAGCCATCACTGGTGAACTGAACAATGAAGGGCCCATTAGTCCTATCTGAAAAAGAAGGTTTAGTAGTGATGGTATGTTATTGTTGGCATTTAAAGTAATATCATAACATATACGTATGACAAGAATAATTTTGGGGTAGAAATTTGAGGGAAAATATGGAATGGTAGTGCTTCAATATGTGATATTTTGCAGAAACCAACTATGGTTGGGTTGTTAAAGATTCCATTTCATGAAGTCTTGCAGATTGGTAAAGATAGCAAAATGATACTTTCTTCTTTAAGTCAAAAGTGTATGATTTTTAAATACTTACTTGTAGTAAAAGCCAACTCAGTCTGTCGTAGCCTTTATGGAATGACAATTTAAATGACAGTGGGATATTCTTCATTAATACAAAAATTTTTAGTAATAATTTAAAATTGAACGCTATGGTATATTACTTCAGTTACATAACGAAAGTGCATTATCACATGATACTTTTATGACATACTCTGCAGTACAATAGTCACAACTGCTTAAATATGAATACCACCACCAGTACCTGTAATGGGACCATTGTTGGTGGGTTGTGGGTTGGAACCATCATTGAGACGTTCTCCACACAGTCTGTTGCCAGCCATGATCAGGTAATCATTAGGACACTGGATAGGACCAATCCCAGCTTCACCTTTGGGAACTAATGAGGTGGCTACACCTTCTGCAAGGGCCAAGGAGATCAAATAACATTATTTTAGGTGACTCACTGAGTGTGACGGTAAACATTTATTGCATGATATCACATAAGCACTGGAAAAGCTATACAGAATGCATCCTACACAACCTACATTTAACAAGTCAAACAATTAAGTTGTCCTTGCTCTCTTTCCTTGGTATACCATGGACTTCACATTGGGGCCTGTATGAGTATTGTATGCACACAATACTCATAGATGCCACTCTTAACCTAAATTCTATTTTCTATTAATGGGTCAACACGACATGTTCATTCTTCACTGGAATGCTAGTGAAAGCTATGAGGAGACGATGGAGGTATTAAATATGCCAAAACTAGTTGAAAGAAAAAAATGTGATAGGATCACCACATAAGAAATCATTCAGAACATTGTATACCTCATATACCTCAGACTAATACTGGAATATGCAGTTCTAGCAGGGAGTACACATCTAGTCAAACACAAAATGACGTTAGGAAAGTTACATAGGTATGCTACCAGGCTAGTCCCCGAGTTGAGAGGTATGAGATACGAGGAAAGATTACTGGAACTAAACCTCAAGACACTGGAAGACAGAAGTTAGGGGAGACATGATCTCTACCTATAAAATTCTCAGAGGAATTGACAGGGTAGATAGATAAATTGTTTAGCACGGGTGGTATGCGAACTAGGGGACACATGCGGAAATTTAGTATACAAATGAGCCACATGGATGATAGAAAGAAATTTTTTTAGTGTTAAAGTAGTTAACAGATAGAATGAATTAGCCAGTGAAGTGGTGGAGGCAGACCCTATACACAGTTTCAAATGTAGATATGATAGAGCCCGGTAGGCTCAAGACTCTGTACACCAGTCAATGGACAGTTGAGAGGGGTGACCAAAGAGCCAAAGCTTGACCCCCACAAGCACAACTAGGTGAGTACAACTAAGTGAGTACATGCAAATTCATGGCAGGAATAACAAAAAATTATAAGGAAAATGTTTTTAAAAATGCATCAATGAGACCACAAGGTCATAGATTGAAATAATGAAAACATGTGCACCAACAAAATTGACATTATCTTTTGCAAATATATTGGGTTGTGTAGGCCAGAATCATTGGAAACTTAAAAATTTCATATAACAAAAATCATAGGGAAGATAAAACTTAATGAGCTTAGCTCTCGTGATGACCAAACCTAGCTCTCATCCTGTAACTGCACATAGGTAATTAGACTTAGATAATTGCAAGGTACTGTCCATACATGAACATATGTATGGATATATATATATGAATACATGAATACACACACAGTTACTTACTAGAATCAACCTTAAAGTTCACAATCTCAAATTGCTTATCGATTATACTATTTGTTGAAGCCATATTTTTGTAGACGACAGAACAGAACCCAGCTTCCTTTCTGATGCACATGGCATAGTTTAAATTGTTCTGAAAAATAATAGTATGATGTAGTAACAATAAAATTAATTACTAATACAGTAATTATTTTCTGATAGTGCCTATATGAGTTGACTTATAAACTATGTTATTTAGAATACATAATGGGTTATTTTAGTAGCGATCTACAATTCGTGGGGCCCTGAAGCTTGAACTTTTATGGGAGCCCCCCTTTGCAACCAGTAACGAGGTCTCAGTAACTACTGTTATCTTCTTCAATGGGAGCTGTGCCACTATAGATCAACACAAATTAAAAACAAAATTTAACCACTTCATCTCGGATTTTGATTAAATCAGAGATGTAGACCCAAAATTTTTAAGCAATGTGGACTAAAGTCACTTCTGGGGTCCCTCTGGGATTATGGGCTCTGAAGCTTAAGCTTCATTAGATTCATTGTAGATCTGCCCCTTGATTATCGAACATTCGATCACAGAAAATGATTAAAATGATTAACTTGCTTTTAAAAGCTTGTTACAGTATAATTAAATAAAATACTACACATATATTATGTATTTGTTGCATAACAGTAAATTTTGGGATCATGTATATCATCCAGTGTTCCAGTATGCCAATAATATGTATACATAGCTCAGTGTATCTCATCCTTGGGGGGGTCAGAAATTATTTTGAATAATGTAACGGGGCAGGGGAGGGAGGGGGGGGGGGGTTGTCCCCATCCAGTACATCGGTTTTTGTATGACTACCTAAACGATGGTAAGACCACAACTGAATAATTAGTATTGTTCGATCTCCTGGGCAGATACTAACATATTTCTGTCCATCTTCCCCATTTCAGAGATTTTCCTGATTTTGTATAGAGAGAAAAGGTTTGATTTCAAAGCTCTCCCTTTCAGCATGAACTTAACTTCCATCAGGCTCAGCAGTGTCATACTCCATATCTCCATTAATGGTCCACTTTACACTGGTATTGAGAGAGTTGATTCACACAAGATTTCTGACAAGATTTTAAGTGTTCATTGCCAAAAAACCTCTCCGTCCATCTCTTGAAAGCTTTAAAGGTGCATCTTAGTAATAGGTGGCAGTGCAAGTGAGGTGTCCACCATACTGTATGATAATATACAGTAAGTAATTTTGACACATACTGTACTTGAACTGTATGTTTATTGAGACAAGGAAAAAATATATTTCAAAGGGATAGAGTAGCATAGGCTATTTATACCCCCCCTCCTGACACATACAGTAGATATTATGGCACATGTGGTAAGGTAATACTCACTAAGTACTCAGGATTTCTGTTAGAGGCGTAGTTGAAAGAGGAGAATGAGCCTTGAGTGCCTGTGTAGTATTGTAGACAATTAGCTGGTGGACTATATGGGCTATTGCACTCGATCTGTGGTAAATAAATAAGACTTTTCAGTAAAGTATGTTTATATTCCATTTACCTTGCTGTTTGTAAATCATAATTTGCATGAATTAAGGATATTTAGAGGTTTCAGTACAGTATTTTAAATTTAATGTGTTTATTTATGTAACTGTGTAGATAATTCATTGTTTAGCATTACAAACTTAATGTTCAATGCAGTTCAGAAATAATGCTGATTAATACATAAGATATTTGTTGGCATTTTACGTGGAAGTTCATTTTTTTTAAGCCAGAATGAAATGATTCTCTACCTTGTACAAAACAGTAAAAAAGTGTCTTTTAATCATTTCCATGCTCAACACGTCATCAGAGGTTTACAGATGTGTTCAGTTTTATTGTGTACATACGTAATAAATAAATTATATACTGTATATACAGTATATAATATAATATATATAACATATTGCAAAGCTCTGGTCAGTTGAGGGAACAGGCTTGTGGGTACATCAGATGACTTGAGTTGCCACTTGGTAATGGTTGGAGTATTTGCATCACAGCAATGATCATATAATCTGAATATAATCTGAAGACTTGGCCTTGCCTACTGGAAGTCAGGCCAGAATCTGGTGTGCACTGAGATGACGGGGGCTTGGGGATAAGAGCTCAACCTTCACATAAGAAAAAACTCCACCCCAAAAGCATAAGCAGAAAACATCTCTTTAGAAAATTTGAAGAGAAATTTCGTACTGTCACTTAATAAGATAAATAATCATTGCTGTGATGCTAATGATGTCAGATGACATCAAGTCATCTGATGTACCCACAAGCCTGCTCCCTCAACTGGCCAGAGCTTCGCAAGCATGAAACCACTGACCAGGCCCATCCTCAGCTTTACACTTAAGTTCTCCCAGCTATCCCTGGCATGTAAGTTATTGTTTCCATACTCTCTTTCACAACTGTGTTTTATGTCACCTGCATTGTGCGTCCTAGCTTTGTATTTTGCTCCTACTGTGGCCCAGTATCTGGATCTTTTCCAGTTAGCCCTCTTTAGCTTCTTGGTCTACCAGCAAACATGCTGGTAGATGAGAGTAACATGAGGGCATGTTAGTTCCCTCTCGAGTCCTGACTTGGTAGGGACCAGCTTTATATTTCTCATATGTAATTACAGTAGTTTCTTTTCTGAAGTGTAGGCCTCTTGTACCAAAGTACCACTGTGAATTAACATGTCAAGGTACTATTGAGAGGGGACCCTTACCAGAAATCAAGCACTGAATTCAATGAAATTACCTTTTCTGTAGGGCTCTACCCTACAGAAATGAGTAGGGCAGTACTGTAGCTCCCTGCTCTACTTGTTTCTTCCCCATAGTGCTAAAAAAAAAATCTGGGCTGCTTCTTGGTGGCAGTGAAGTTGACATAGTTGGAGTGTTTACATAGCTGTAACAATTATTAACCTTATTGTGTGCAGTACCTTGAAATACCTAATTTGTTTTCAAGTGGTTGCTTGATTTGTTGCTCTTATACTTTCTGGTTGGGGTTTTCTTTGTTTTGGGTTGATCTTTGCAACCCATCCTCAGTCTATGTTCATTCCATCCCGTGGTCGACCACAAAGGCACATTCATAAATGTTAACATGCTGTTCATTCAAAATAGGATGTTTCTCAAATATAAATTAATATTATTATATAGTAGCATATTGTGCATATTTATGTATTGGTTAGGTTAGGTGTTTAGGTTCTGTTGGCGATTATTTGTATATGTAGTGCGTGGGTGAAGCATTTACTGCGTTGTGGTTCAAACAAAAGTTGTCAGCGAAGCACTGTTCGAGAACTGTTTGAATGTCATCACTTGTGAGTCGTGTGTAAACCCTTTTTTCATTAATAAACGGGTTTGGCAGGTGCATGGAATCACTTTTGGCCTTTGTTTATAAGGACGAGCTGGATCTTTGACCCCAAAATTCCTCTTGCTCCATGGAGAGAGAACCAAGTTCTGGTTCTAGGTCCTGTAAGGCAAGGGTGAGTCTCAGAGGCCTGGTACATCATCTTGTGGCATGGCTGTACAAGTGCTGAGCTCAGGGAGCTACTAAGGACCTCCACCAAAAAAGTGTGTTTCATTACATACGCTAGATTTGTGTGTTATTCATGTATTTAAAAGTATAATCAGGGAAACTTGTGTGTCTGTACACACACACACACACACACATATATATATATATATATATATATATATATATATATATATATATATATATATATATATATATATATATATATATATAGAGTGTGTGTGTGTGTGTGTGTGTACAGTATACAGTGCAGTATGTAATATATTTACCTGAGATGCTTTGATTTCCCATTGCCTCTCCAGTCCTGCCCCAACAGTTGTAATACTGAGCTCCAGCGGGCCGTGGACAGTGTCTACGTCAATGTACACTGCCAAAACATTATGTGCTTTAGTAATATTTTATGCCTTTTTTATTCACTGATGTACATTTTGAATCCTCAGTTTTTTAATTGGTAAAGTTCTAGTTCTGAAGGATAAGCATTAGTAGCAGTTGCACTTGGGTCAATTTTTTTTTAGCTTTCCCCAATTTGCCAACAAGAATATTGGAAAACTTGTGTTTTCCTCTACAGTACAATTGTGCATTTTGAACATAAGGTATACTTACTGTGCTGTCCAGAATTTTCACCGCAAAGCTTGGGTGTAAAGGCATTGATGTTTTGCCCTGATACAACCAGTTGATCTCTTGTACAGCTGCCATCAACTGGGGACATCAGCTGTTGAGTAGAGTAATAGTAAGTATAAGTACACCTTACTTATAAGGTATACTTATACCTTCTGAAGATGTATTACCTTACTTATACCTTCTGAAGATGTATTTAATAATCTTCAGAAGGATCAAATATCGCGTAATTGATATTTGATACAGTTTCATTATCATGTTTACATGATATTGATCCTTTCACATTGATCCTTCTGAAGATGTATTATTAAATACGAAAGTACTTAAGGAAATTCCTAAGGAAATTCCTGTTTCAATTCATCCTTTGTGGTCTGACACTCGCATTTTTCATCACGTGTTAATTTTCGTGATTTACACACACACACACACACACACACACACACACACACACACACACACACACACACACACACAGAACGAGGGGACATGGGTGAAAACTGGAAACTCAGATGAGTCAGAGATGTTAGGAAGTTTTCTTTTAGCGTGAGAGTAGTGGAAAAATGGAATGCACTTGGGGAACAGGTTGTGGAAGCAAATACTATTCATACTTTTAAAACTAGGTATGATAGGGAAATGGGACAGGAGTCATTGCTGTAAACAACCGATACCTGGAAAGGCGGGATTCAAGAGTCAATGCTCGATCCTGTAAGCACAAATAGGTGAGTACAAATAGGTGAGTACACACACACACCTCTACATACACACACACACCTCTACATACACACACACACCTCTACATACACACACACACCCACCTACATACACACATACACACACCTACATACAACTCGTGCTTCTTAGTTCTGGGACCAGACTAGTCCCAGAACTAAGAGGCATGAGTTACTAGGAAAGGCTGCGGGAAATGCACCTTACGACACTGGAAGACAGAAGAGTAAGGGGAGACATGATCATAACCTACAAAATCCTCAGGGGAATCGACCGGGTAAACAAGGATAACCTATTCAACACTGGTGGTACGCGAACAAGGGGACACAGGTGGAAACTGAGTACCCACATGAGCCACAGGGACGTTAGAAGGAACTTTTTCAGTGTCAGAGTAGTTAACGGATAGAATGCATTAGGCAGTGATGTGGTGGAGGCTGACTCCATACACAGTTTCAAATGTAGATATGATAGAGCCCAGTAAGCTCAGGAACCTGTACACCAGTTGGTTGACAGTTGAGAGGCGGGAACACTAATGCTTTCCCCCGCCCTCGCAAAAAAAAAAAAAAATGCTAGAAGGTTGGCAATTTCAAAGCATCCATTGTTTTGCTCTTACGAGATCTCACTTGGAATATGCTTCTGGGCACCATACTTTAAAATTAATATAAATTAATTTTAAAGTAATCAGAGAAAGTTGACTAAGTTAATCCATGTCACTAGGAATCTCCTTCACGAAGAGACCATTAAAACCAAATTTCCTTTGCATAGAAAGGCATAGAGCAAGATGGGGACATTCGAGGAATGTACTAAATGATTAAAGGGTTTAACGATAGGGGTTCTGGAAATGTCAAAGTTAGAACCTAAAATAATAAATTAAACTGTTAGATTTTAGATTTAGACATGAGAGCTGTAAAAACTGGATCAGAAATAAGATTTTAAATTAATGGAACAAGTTAGAAATATCTTATTTTACATGAATGGTAGTCGGGGTAGATATAAAAATTGGAGCTGCCTGTCATCTGCCAATATGCTTGCTGCAGATCCATTTATTTATATGTACTGTGTATACAATTTTTAAAAACGGAAAGTTTTGGTTTTGAAAAATTAATTAATTATTATAGGAAACTAAATGTGTTAGTGTTGTAACATTGTCAAGGATTTCATGATGAAAAAAATCTTGGGTTTAGTTTGTTAATTGCTAATTATTGGCTATGAGAATAGTCATGTATTTTTCATCAATTATTGCGTTATATGTAACTTTTCCTGTTAGACTTCTTTCATAATACGTTTTGTATAGTATGAGGTTAGTTCTCACAAATACCTTAAACTTGATAAGATCTAGTCTAATGAAGCAGATGGAACGGGAGATCTTTTTGATGCGAAGAGTGCAGGTTCCTCCCGTGGTGAGGACACTGGAGGTGCCTAGCTGCGGGGACACCCAGTAGGTGTTGTTGCTGCTCACCTCTGACCCACACCCAGAATGGTAGGCTGAAAATGCACTGCAGTATTAGTCTTTGAATGATACAAGTTACTAGTTCAATTCCTGTCTCGTAATTCCCTAAACTGAGTTGCTGTGAATTCATTGTATTAATTTGTGATGTTATGGTTGGGAAGCGCAAGTTGTTACTCTAATATTAAGGCTTTATATAATTCCTCCTATCAAGTTACTTGTGAAGTTATGGTACAATTGCTGGATTTAAGGTAATATTGAAGGTCTAATTTGCACTCGAAGGATCAGCCTACTATTCCAATATTTAAAGTATTTTTAACTAGGTTAGGGTTTCATAAAGTTTTAGTTGGTTCTTAAAACCTAGGTTACAGTTTTGGCTTTCACTTCATAACTTAAAGTTCGGCAAGCTAGGCCTACATCTTGTAACCTAGTCCACACCGAATTCAAATTACTGTACGTGTAACCTAGGTAACAATCAATGCAAGTTGCTTCTCCTGACCTAGGTCACTGAGAGTATATATTTGTGGGTTCAGAGGAATAAACTTACTTGATACAAGTATTTGTTATGTAGCCTTGAAACTATAGTTTCTAGCGTAGCTTATAAAGAACTAAGCGTTGCATCTATTCAAGATGGCACAACGTTAAATTCAATACAGTATCCAAGTGTGAGAGCACGGGTTTAATATTGAAAGTGATCATAGAACTAAATCATGCAAGAGGAATGACTAAATAATATGTTGGCTTGCGTCAGCCCCATGTATTTGTGGCCTTATATTGCAACAGCGCTTGCATAGGCTATAATTTACATCTCAGCAGTAATATTAAATAAAATACATATAATAATAATCCCTTACTGCTGGAGTAGTTGCAAATAATAAATATAAATCGGATAGCAGTTGCACCGTAAATGTGATAATATTAACGCTGGATGATATTGTGTAAACATGTCGTAGGGTTGAATCAGATTTCACGCGAACTTGCCAAATCCCGACACAATATTTGTATTGGTTGACTGCTTATACTGGTAGTTGAAGGCACGGAGCTTGTCTGTATCTGCTGATGAAGTGCATTGGTGTAGGACGACCACTGAGGACAAACCATGGCAGTAATGGATGCATGTTGACTGGCTCTCATAAAAGATCCTTTACAATAGGCTGTTCACAACTGAAAGGTCTCGGGTTCGATTTCCGCGGCAGGACAGAGACGTTTTGGCAAGTTTTCTTTCACCTTGTATATCTGTTTATCTTGCAGTAAATGGATTCCCGGATGTTAGGTAACTGTTGTAGATTGCATCCTAGGAAAGGTCGGTGGTTATTGTTCCAGGAAGCGACCTCGAAAGCCTAACAGTCTTCCTGTCCCTGATACTGTAATAAGAAACTGGAAACTATGTAGAAAAATTTGTCTCCACACGTCGTGAGCTAGAAATGTTACCTAGAGTATTCGTCAAAAGCGGTTTCTGATTGCTAAGTGTAATTATATCTTCGTAAATGAATCTCTCTTCACGGTGTGTACTTACCGCTCTCTCAGACTTTCACACTTTTGCAAAGTTCCTGTGCCAGACATGCAAGGAGCGATAATAAAATTATATTGACAAATCATTGCCTTGGCCTGGGATTCGCCGTCTCTTTGGCGTGAGAAACCGCAACTGACTTTAATCTCATGCTTCATGCGTTTAGGCTAGAGATTGTTGCTTTTAATTTAATGTTAATGCTGGAGCAACAATGACCAGCCTCTGATACTTTCATTTCATCGTCTCATTTTGATCTCTCCGACATGGGTTAATTTACTTGAACAAGTTATACTAGCTATGAAGGAGCCATGGTGAATAACCAAGGCACTGTAACGCATGCAAGGAGCAACAACTTCAAGCTCAACAAGCCACAATGTACCACAGATAATTTTTCAACCCGTAAGATAATGAACCCACGTTCCTGCCGAAGCCGCAAAGTTGGGTATATTTACGTTCTTCCAAATTATTGTAAATTATCAAAACACAGCCTATTTTACTTGCTAGTTTGACATTTTAATGTTAATTGTGCTTATATTAATTTCAATATTTTTGCCTAATCTCAGTGTATATCTCACTCACTAGTTTTAATTACTTTGTTTAGGTTTAATTGAACATCTTGCAACTGATCTATCACTGGACATCCTCCATGTGCATATATTTCAACTAATTTGTTAGCTTCAAGAGTTGACCGTATACGCTATACGTATTAGTGACTTTCTAGGCATGTAGAACTCTCACATTGTTAAAAGTCCTGTTATTACTCTCGTGTGCATGAAATACAAAATATACACTGAGAAATGTATATAACCTTGTCGAACATAATGTATGTCAGCGTGCCGTGCCAAATGATATTCTTGCGTGTATGTGTAGTTAGTATTTCGAGAACGGGGTGTTTTTGTTATTGTTCCGGTGCTCACTTCCGCTGCTCACTGAGTGTGACACACACACGTCACCTGATCGTGCATAATTTTCCTGCACAGTGGCGATGAAGACGTTCCCACCTGGCTGAGCTGGTGAATGTGACACCAATGTTGTTTCCCAGCTAGCTCCTATTTAGTGAGTGGGTTTCTGTTTTAAGCATATTGGTTGTCTTGTGGCATCAGGATAGCAAAACATTTGTCTGAATAGCAGACGCAACGTAGTCACTAAGGGACATTTGACTAATAAGAAACGATGGTTACAGTTATTCTGTCGTTGATGTAGCCACTCAGGAACGTTAATGCTAAAATATTACACGCCAGGTGTCCTATACATAGCGAATGGTTGTCTGATCAACTTGGATAGATTGGCTGTCTGATTTTCCAGTATGACAGTGGCCGTTTCTCACCCAGTTATTTATTTCACTGTACTGTAAATACATACTACAATGCAGGCGATGAGTCACTATAACGTGGCTAAAGTATGATGACCAGACCACACACTAGAATGTGAAGGGACGACGACGTTTCGGTCCGTCCTGGACTATTCTCACAATCGACTTGAGAATGGTCCAGGACGGACCGAAACGTCGTCGTCCCTTCACATTCTAGTGTGTAATCTGGTCATCACATACTACAATAACCATAGTAATATAAAGCCACGCCTACACTTCTTACGTTAATCATCCTGAAAGTAAGAGACAGTGTAAAGTTTTCTTGAATAATTCTCCTGTTAAGACAGTAGGAAAGATGCAACTCGTCCCGTTTGAGGCTCTCGCCCCGCCCTATACTCTCACCCCCGACCTAGGCTCCCCAGGCCTGGAGAAAGTGAGAGAAAGTGATGAAAGCCAGAAGAGAGCATGACGGCCTGGATGGCGGCGTCACTGTGGAGTGGGTTGAAGGCCGCTCCCTGTCACGGAATTTTGACTGGTCATGTGAAGTCGGTGGAGTGTGTGTGTCTTCGCTATCAGCTCTTACTTATCAGTATCTACGGGGAAGTGAGGTCTAGCTTTTTGTCCCGTCAACTAGCCTTGTTATTGCATTATAATTTAACTATTCTGACGTTTGATTGATTTTGTAGAGACCTTAAAGTTGTGGATGGATTTGGCTTCTGCAATACTGTCAGTGCATTCCACTTGTTTGCCACCCGTGCAAGGTACGAGTATTTTTTTATATTCCTTCGACTCTGGGAAGGAGCTCTGCCTCTTAGCTGCTTGTACCTAGCGCGTTACAATTTCTTGACTTTAAGTTCGTGCCCAATAAATTCGTTATTCTGGGCATAATTAAGAAAAAAATACTGGATGGGGGGAGGGGAGTCAGTGCAGTTTTCCGGGCGCAGTGCGAAAAGTTTGTTACTATGTGTCATTATAATTACAAAGTGTGCAGGTTAGATGTAATGACTAATGTATACATTTCCGCCCAGATCTGATTAAGACTTTTCGTGCCCCCTGTAATCCCTTATATATATATATATATATATATTATATATATATATATATATATATATATATATATATATATATATATATATATATATATATATATATAAAAACTACCACTCACAGGGGTGGTTTTTGTTTGGGTTAGTGATACTAGTTCTTCTTTGATAATTACCTATTACTTTGATCATTTCGATGCTAGTTGTGACCTGTTTGCCAGATAATCCAGCTCTTTTGTTATTTTTTTGAACGTCATTTTGTGTTTTTCGTAGTCTCATATATCAAATATTTTTGCAAATATTTAAATATTTTGCTAAATATTTATTTTTGCACATTTATTTTGCATAAATATATGTGCAAAAAATGGGCATATTTGCAATTTTTTGCCCACGTGCCCATTGGGGTGGGCACTTGGGCAAACGGACGTTAAATCAACGTTAAAAATGTTGATTCCATGTAACTGGAGGATGTGTTGCCCACTGCAACAGTGATTGATTGATTGATTGATTGATGAAGATTAAGACGTGGCACGGGCATGAATAGCCCGTAATGGGCTATTCATAGAACAGTGTTTACGTGTAAGTACATGAAGTAAGACGGTGAGTGAGCATGTGACCTCATCTGTCTTGTCCTACACTAGTGTGTGATCAGACGCAGGTGAGGAGTGCGACCCTGTGTGTGTAGAGGAGCGTCTTACCTATGCAGCAGGAGGCGTAGCCGTAGGTGCAGGAGGAGGTAGGGGTGTGGCCGCCCCGCCTGCACTGCTGCTGCAGCACACACACGCCCTCACGCCCGTCCTGGCCCAGGCACTCCCCGCCACCACCGCCCTCCGTCAGCATACCGAAGAGGCGGCCCAGTGTCAGCCCTGGGGATAGTCCAGGCCGGTGATGCTCCACACCTCTCACCCTCCCTCCCTCTAGTTACTCGTCCTCCCTCCCTCTAACTCGCTATCATAAGGTCAGTCTCTCCCTCACAGTTACCTGGTGGCTCAGTCGTCAGCTTGAGTTATGAGTGTTAAAAGATAACTGTTTCTGAAGGGAGGGAGTTATCAGGGGAAAACAGCAAGCCATTGCGACTAAATAGTACTGGAAGTGTTTCTGAAGTGTGAGTGTGTTGAGTGGGTGTAGGAGTGTTGGGTACTCACAGCGTGGTTGTCTCTCCGGGAGGGTGTTGTACACCAGGTGTTGCGGCGCCTGCAACACTGCCGGCTCCTCCGCCACGGTGGTGGGCGGCAGGGCGGTGGGCGTCGTCGTCGGCTCCGATGACCCGCCGCCCTTCTTCCTCGGCAGTTTAGGTGTCGTGGGCGGCGGCTGGTGGTGGTTGGGGTGGGTGTATGGGGTGGTTTGTGGGTGGTGGCTCTCCTCGACGGGCGGGGGCAGGAGCGGGTGGGCGTGGGCGGTCACGGCCTGGCGGTGACCCTCCACGACCGCTGCAAGTAGCGGCGGGGGTAGGAGCGGGTGCATTTGGGCGGTGACCGCCCGGTGGTGCCCCTGGACGACGGGCGCGGGCGGGGGCGGGAGAGGGTGGGCGTGGGTGGTGGAGGCGGGTATCTCGATCACCAGCGGCCGACCCGTCGCCCACCAACGCCTGCCCAAGTCGTCCTTCCAGTCGTCGTCGTCGCCCGCGAGGTGGTCGTCGAGGGCCTGAAGACGCGTCGGCCACCTGGCCAGATTCCTCAGCGTCCGCTCGTCCATCCGGCGGGACCTCCGGGCCGAGTGGCCATGGAGGCGGCGCCGGCCGAGCCTCTGGATCAGGGCGGCCTGGCCGATGCTGGGCGTGACGGAGGGGTAGAGCTCCAGGAAGTGGGCGTGGAAGGTGTCGGTGGGCGGAGGGGTGGTGGGCGGGGGCTGGGCGGCAGCCAGCAGGGCGGCCAGGACCACCAGACACACCCGCAGGTGACAGGTGGACGCCGGTGACAACGACACTCCCATGGTCACTGGTATTGTGTCGGAGGTCCCTCACTGTCTCACTGATTTATGGCACCGCTGACACGCTTGTCATGTGTGTGTCACACTGACGACACCTTCACGCTCGCTACACCCGTCACACACACACACACACACACACACACACACACACACACACACACACACACACACACACACACACACACACACACACACACTCACACTCACACTACACCTATCACACACTACACACTCTGGGGGCAGTTATAAAGTCATTCTCAACACGTCTTCAAAAACCATAATAAAGCTCGTATCTTCTTTAAATAAAATTTCACAAAAAATACGATATGTAAATCAATACTTTTTCTGAATTAGTCGAGTTATCATTATTTTGTAATACATGTGTTTACATAATCGGTCACTTGAATATATAAATTACTTGTGTATAAACAGTGAATTAGAGTAGCTGAAAAGTTTTCAGCAGGTCTTGGTGGTCAGTGTTGCAGTATCCTTCACCAGGTGTCAGGCCTTGGATACCTCTCTGCCTCTGAAAAAAGAGAGATCACATCAGCATTATTATAATAACATTTGAATTACATTATCACAGTGTGAGGTGAGTGTGTTAAAAAGTATGATAGAGGGTCTAGGGTAACCAACACTGATCTGACTGGCGTACGAGTTTGTATTGCTTAACCCTGTATTATGTTGTATGATTCTATTTCGTACTGCAATCTGTAATGTAATAAATATTATGCACTATTTTATATTGTTTTTCAATGATGCGTTGAATTGTAGTATGGTACGCTGTATATCTGGGCCGGAGGTTGCGTTGTGTCGGTTGCTGGGAGTATTGAGCCGTCAGCAGTTCGGTCCATTGATGCTCATTCATTAGGGTGTTGTCAGAGCTCTTATCGGTAGGTAGAAAGTCGCCCTCTTGTGATTCGCGGAGGGAGGATGAGGAATACTTGCAACCTAGCGGGTTTTCTTCCTATTGGGGAGTGTTGTACATGCTGCTATGGCGGTGTGTCCACTCAGAGTGGCGCTGCCCAATAAACTCGCCCCTCGGGGCAAAATTAAAAATTAAAATCACAATGGAGGAATAGGAGGAGGCGCCAACGTCCAAATTTGGCCATAGCGCGCATACGAGCCAAAAGTGACGTTATTTTTAAGAGGACAGGTTGGGTAGAGAGCACATTCGTCCTCAACTCGGCCACATTTTTTGTTTTTTATTTTTATTATTATTGAAAGTGTAAAACTAAGCGTAAGCCGGGGAAAAAGAACGAGACGGTAACATGATAGAAGTTATAGAAGCAGAGGTGTGAGCGTATTACAGCAAGGCGTGCTAATGGTGCCCAAGCCCATGATCTACCTCTATCCTTCAGCGCTACCACTCCAAGGCTGCCTTTACGGGGGCATAATAAATGAACACGTTTGTGCGCCATCACCATTTGCAGGTTTTTAATATATTTTTGACACGCTAATTAAGGGAGATGACGGATGCGGTGTCGATTTCAAGGGTAGAAGAGGATCGTCGCCGAGTGGGAGTTGACATCTGCCGTCATGCCAGGCCGCCTCCACCACACCACTCCGTACCACCCCCTGCCACGCCACCCCCCTGCCACGCCACCCCCCTGCCACACCTCCCCCTGCCACACCTCCCCCTGCCACACCTCCCCCTGCCACACCTCCCCCTGCCACACCTCCCCCTGCCACACCTCCCCCTGCCACACCTCCCCCTGCCACACCTCCCCCTGCCACACCTCCCCCTGCCACACCTCCCCCTGCCACACCTCCCCCTGCCATGACCATACAGCACGTGCTTAGATGTTAGTAAACAAAGGGTCCTTGCGGGTACTCACGGCGCGGCCGACGCTGGGTTCATCCCAGTCCTTCTTCCTCCCACATCCTTTCCAAGCTCTTTGGACATCAAAGCTAAATCCCAGTAGACACCTGCCACCCTCCACCCCCATCGCCTCCCCCACATTCCACAGCCTGGTTTAAGAAGCCAGGAACACGCAGTCCTGCGCATTACAAGGCAATCGAAGATTGAACTACTGGGCTGTCTCAGGGTGTCAAGAACTGAACTCCTAACAAACCCGTAACAATGATTTCAACAATCCCGCTAGCAGTGACGCATCATGAGTGGCTAGAAGGTGCATGATAATTACCGGTGTTGTTAATACAATATTGTCTTTACTCTACAGAGCAAGCTGAGGCCTGTACTGGACTTGGGAGGGTCTGTGAGTACTGCTCTCCTTACCTCTCATATTCCCAAGTTTTGATTTGGGAGTTTCAGAATCATGCACTGTGTGTGTGTCTACTTACCTAGTTGTGCTTGCCGGAGTTGAGCTCTGGTTCTTTGGTCCCGCCTCTCAAACGTCAATCAACTGGTGTGTGTGTGTGTTTGTATGAATGGTTGGGTGTACGTATTGATGTATAAATGGATAAGTGTATAGCTTTAAGGCTGTATGGATGTTTGAGTGGACGAGTTTATGAACGGATGACCTGTATGTGTGTTAATGTATGAATGGATTAGTGTTTGGATAGATAGTTATTTATTTTGCTGCTGTTTTTTCTTTATAGTCATCGTCCTTTTTTTGGTCTGTGTTTCCTGTCATGTGCATTTAACTGTGACTCCGCCTTCCATCACCACCTCCCCTTCTCTCCTCGGCACCACCACCATCATCACCATCATCACCACCATCACCATCATCACCATCATCACCATCACCACCATCACCATCACCACCATCACCACCATCACCATCATCACCACCATCACCACCATCACCACCATCACCACCATCATCACCACCACCATCACCACCATCACCACCACCACCACCACCACCATCACCACCATCACCACCATCACCACCATCACCACCATCACCACCATCACCACCATCACCACCATCACCACCACCACCATCACCACCATCACCACCATCACCACCATCACCACCACCATCACCACCATCACCACCATCACCACCATCACCACCATCACCACCATCACCACCATCACCACCACACCACCATCACCACCATCACCACCATCACCACCATCACCACCATCACCACCATCACCACCACCACCACCACCACCATCACCACCATCACCACCACCACCATCACCACCATCACCACCACCACCACCATCACCACCATCACCACCACCACCACCACCACCATCACCACCATCACCACCATCACCACCATCACCACCATCACCACCACCATCACCACCATCACCACCATCACCATCATCACCACCATCACCACCATCACCACCATCACCACCATCACCACCATCACCACCATCACCACCACCACCATCACCACCATCACCACCATCACCACCATCACCACCATCACCACCACCACCATCACCACCATCACCACCATCACCACCATCACCACCACCACCATCACCACCATCACCACCATCACCACCATCACCACCACCACCATCACCACCACCACCACCACCACCATCACCACCATCACCACCATCACCACCATCACCACCATCACCACCATCATCACCACCATCACCACCACCATCACCACCATCACCACCATCACCATCATCACCACCATCACCACCATCACCACCATCACCATCATCACCACCATCACCACCATCATCACCACCATCACCACCATCACCACCATCACCACCATCACCACCACCATCACCACCACCATCACCACCATCACCACCATCACCACCATCACCATCACCACCATCACCACCATCACCACCATCACCACCATCACCACCATCACCATTACCACCATCACCACCATCACCATCGTCACCTGTGAGAGTGGCGACACGCAGGTGCTTCTGGAGCATCATACCCGCACCATCCAAACACAAGTACTTAGTCACTTGTCATCTAAAATGCTCAACAAGACACTCGAGATAATCAACCTTTTTTAGAATTCTGGAAAAAAAGACAAATGTTCGCTAAATATGTTAAAAAAAAAGGAGAGAAACAGGAGGCATTAAAGTTGAACAGTGTTGTGTACTAATGAAACACTTGTTCACTAAGAATTATAATGTAGTATTGCCTTGTAAAACTTGTGTATATATGATTTATGTTGTATTTTCTTAAATAAAGATATAAAAAAAAAGTGTCACAGACAAGTATATTATGTAAAGGGCAGGAGAAAGGGATCATTTTGAGAGTAGGTGGAACGTGTACAGGTGGAGCACCTGTAGAGGTTCCAACTTGTATAATGTAACGACGCCACGGATTTAGGAAGGGTTGAGTTTTTTGACCGGGTTACTAAAACAGGAAACGTATCAATTTTTGCAGATGATGGAAGGCTAATGAAGAGTGTAACACTAGGAGGAATGCAGGAAGTTACAGGAGAACGTTGACAAACTAAAGGAGTGGGCATATAAGTGGATGCTGGAGTTTAATCTCAATGAGTGTAAGGTAGTGAAGATGGGGAAAGCGAGAAAGAAGACCAGGAGATATCTACACCATGAGGAGGAGATATCTACACTATAGGGGAAAGGCAACTACAGAAATCAGAAAGATATAGTACTGATATAATTCAACACTAACAGGAGAGACACTCAAACAGGATAACATCGCCAGTATAAGGGATGCTGGCAAACAAAAGAACATCGTTTGGAAACCTAAACCAGGGCTCCTTCAAGGCAATTTACACAACCTTCGTTAGACCAGTTTGGAATAATGCAGCACTAGCCTGGAATCTGCACTTTATGCAGTATAAAACCAAATTTTTAAGCATACAGAGGTTTGCAACAAGATTGGTGCCTGAACTAAGAGTGTTAAGCTATAAGGATAGGCTCATGGAACTATAGATCTCACAGCTTAGAGGATGAAAGGACGAGAGGGGGACATGATGACCATATACAAGATACTGAGGGGAGGAATAAGCGAGTGTGGAGTGCACGGAAAGAAGTTGTGGAATCCAACGCCATTGAAAAGCTGAAAGCTAAATTCGACAAGGAATTCGAACATTAGGATAATTATTGTAACAGGTACAACAGGGCGGGGCATAGAGCTAGAGCTCAACCTGCCGCGGTAACTGACAGATAAGCTGACTGCTGGAGGAGCCGCCGTCACCCGTCACCTCCAGCTGTCATCATGCCGACACACAGCACACGTCACTACCTACCGCACCAGCTGTCACTTGCTGATAAAATACAGCGTTAACGAAGCTCGCTTCATTTGTTTTGGCGGCCGGCCATATTTTTTTTTTTTTCTGTTGACATTGTGTAAGTGAAGTGACAGATCCGGCGGCGTCCTTCCCTCTCCCTCCCCGCCCTACCTGCTCATGCCCTCATGTTACACATCATAAAACTCATAAAATAACTCATAATGTTCACGCCGAGTCTGAGTCAAAATGTGCGCCATCATATATTTTGGGGGACGAGTTATGAGGCTGATATAGCACCACAGATGTGAGGCACTCACAGGTGTTGTGGGGGAGGAGAGGCATTACAGGTGTTTAGGGAGGAGGAGAAGCACTCACAGGTGTTGAGTATGAACCAGGGGCGGTGGCAGCATCTATCACTCACTGTTTCAAAAGCAAGTATGTTAGAGTAATGGAAAATGTGAATACAGTATATGCGCCAGGTATAATAGCCATGAGGCGGGGCTGGAGAGCTGGAGCTCTGTCTGTAAAGTCTGACACTTGTCCTGCCCGGCTCCCAAAGTCTGGTTCACCTAAGGTGACGTTTGTAGTTAGTTAACCAAGACACACGCCGGGAATAATGAACAGATGCCTCGTGTGTACTCACCTGGTTGTGCTTACAGGGGTTGAGCTTCGGCTCTTTGGTTCCGCCTCTCAACTGTCAGTCAAATGGTGTACAGGTTCCTGAGCCTATGGGGCTCAGGAAATACATCATATCTACAATTAAAGCTATATAAGGAGTCTATCTTCATTACATCACTGCCTAATGCATTTCATTTGTTAAATCTGTTAAATCTCTTTAACAAAATTCCATTTGTTAAATCTCCCCGCGGCGCGCCGGCTGATTAAGTGATGACAGGGATAGATGAATGACTGGTAAACCATTCATGTATTGCCATGTGGGGCCGGGTGGGAGTAGTAGTAGTAGTAGTAGTAGTATCTATAGTAGAAGTAGCAGTAGTGCTGACACGATGTGTGTGCTGGATTCCGTCTCTCCACAAACAAGACAATAACATAGGCACCCATCACAAGAGAGAGAAAACGAAGACCTGGAAATTAATGCTAAAGTTCTTGAATGGGTTAACCACTGTCGCCACCGTTGTTACCTTTGGGTTACTGTCGACTCTAACAAGGGGGACAAGAAAGGTGTTTCGTCAACTCATAGGCTCCTGAGAGCCGTGTCCAGCAATGGTCACGGGGCTTCTTGAAGACGTTCTTCAACTGATCCGTCGTAGACTATGTCGCACCAGTGATATATTCACTCACAGGATGAGTGACGCTGCCCAATACTGTCAGGTGTCTAGGTCTCTTGGACCACGTGAGGACCTTCACCACTTAAACAGTCCCCGTGGCACAGTAATAAAATACTCGCCCGACGCTTCGCGACCACTTTGGTCTGGGTTCGTATCCTGGCCGGGGAGGATTGACTGGGCGCCAATCCTTAACTGTAGCCTCTGTTCACCCAGCAGTGAATGGGTACCTGGTTGTTAAACCATTTTGGCGCGTCGTATTCCGGGGAAAATTAGGATTAAGGATTATATTCGAAAATATAAATAAATTTATGCTCGGAAAGTTGCCATGGCAACTTTAGGAAGCTATGCGATGTAGGCTGGTGGTAGTGATGCTGGCAGCTGGTGGAGGTGTGCCAGTTATGGCCAGCTGGCGTTGGCCAAGTTTGAGTTAGGGGGAATGATGACAGGTGGCACCCAGCAGGTGGTGGACCTGATTAACTGCTGACGTCACACTCGTCCACTACCCATATAGCCCTCTGGGCCGTGTGGCAGATGGTGTTATGGGATACGACAGGTGGCACCCAGCTGGTCGGTACCTGGCCGTCTTGGGTCGTGAGCTGAGAGGCAGGTGGTGCCGGCGTGTGTGTGTGTCACCTGCAGTCATCCATCAGGAGGTGACACCAAGTGATGCATGACAACAGGTGATCCATGGAGATGACAGCAGATGGCACCAGGCCCTCTCAACAACCATCCGGCCCGCATCAGATGGCACCTGGTTCTCTCATCCCCCAGCTGGCTCCATGTGGCACCTGGCACTCCTTCGCCTC